TTATTTTGCTTGTTTATAGGATTGTCTAAGACCATGCTGCTTCGGTAGCCAGGCTTAGCCTGCCGACTCGCCAGGCGGACCCCGGACGTTTCGCCGCGAATGGAAGGAAGGAAGGAAGTAGTAGCAGTAGTTGTCGTAGTAGTAGTAGTAGTCGTCGTCGTAGTGGTAGTAGGGGTAGCAGTATGAGTAGGAGTAGGAGGAGAATGAGTCATAGCGACAGTGGTCGTCGCAGTGGGAGCGGTGGTGGTCGTACTGATGTATCAATAGTCGTCGTCGCAGTCGAGGGTATAGTCTTAGTCAGTCGTAATCAGTCGTAGTAGTCGTAGTACGCCATCGTAGTAGCCGTAGTCGTCGTAGTGATATTTGTAGCTTCAATAGTAATCGGAGGGTTAGTAGTTAAAGAAATAAAAGTTCTAAGCACTTTCAGCTGAAGGACGACGCACCCTTTCTCCACTGTACACAAATTTTGGCTATCATTTCCAAGTTTCGCCTCCAAAATGCAACCGTGCTCCAGTTATTTGGCCTGCAGGCGGGGGTCTACCTGCAGCGCGCTGGAAGGTAGCTGCTCAGCTTCTTGCCTCATTTCTTGCCTCAAAGGCGCTTTTGTTTGTTAATGTCAGCCCCTTCAAACGAAGCGGGCTTAAAGTCTCGAGACCAATGCGAAAGAACAGCGCGCGCATCCTTTTCTGACTGTGGACGAAGCACGGTGCAGCACATGTGGGAAGTTTTACAGAGTTGGTGTTTTTGTAGAGGATTCGGCTCACAGCGCGGCTCTCTAAGCTTTGGCTATCTCGAACCCTGAACTTACGTGCAGGCCTCGGGCATCGGCAGAGTCGTGTGTGCAAGTCCCTTGTTGATAGTCCTAAGGTGAGCAATGTCCCTGGCCCCAGCTTTCATGTTCAGATCTTCGATTCTTTGCTCGCCGTCGATTTGCGCCTGCAGGCCTCCTACCATTACGCAGCACATGGACTACATCCAGGTTTGCGGCGTGGGTGGCCTTTTCTTGCGTTCGTCAGCCCTCTTTTGCTGTGCACTCTGCTTACTGCGGAAATCCTGGCTTGACAGCGTTGGTTTGTCATGGCAAAATAATGCACAGCAGGCATGGTTCGAGCTGTTTCTCAGCCTCCAGATTGGGTCGACATCCTGAAGCGGAGCAACAATATATGGAGCACCCATTCTGTAGAGCTGCAATGTGCCTCGATGCAGCTCGCAAGCTGCCCTTGGCGACGGCTCCCAGGGAACCAGCTCAGCTCGAACACAAAAAAAAGCATCTCTCTGCTCAAAGGAGGCATGACCTCCCTGACGGGGCCAAGGCTGGGACCTGAGTCGTCGCACTCACTCGCTCACTCCGCCTGTTTTCTGCTCTCTGGAGGCTGCTGGCCCTGCTCTCCTTTTGGCTTCTCGTGGTCCAGTCTGGGGCCGAGAGCGAGCCTTCTGTAGCGTGTGCGAAAGGCCCGTAGTGCTGCCTCGCTGTCGACTCGAGACACGATGTCGGGAAGCATCACCGCTGGCGTCAGGAAGTCTGTGGATTTCGCTTGCGCATCAAGAGCAATGCTGCAATTCGCTCTTTTGGGTTATGGCACTGTGTATGACGCATTCCAGGAGACAACAGGAAGTTCAGCAGAAACAAGCATCAGCATATTCTCGCGCAGCTGGGTTGAAACAGCACTGCATACGCTACTGTTCCGTACTCACACAATGCCGGCAGCATCTCTATGAATGATCCGCCTAGCATCAGGGGCCCTCCACTTGGCAACTGACCCGTCTCGTCCCATGCCTTCTCAAGCTCGTCTGCTGTCGAGCCATTGATTTTCCCAGTCTTAGTCGTTCAGATCTTGCACAACTCTCAAGTCGTTCGAAGCCCCAACTGCTCCAACCGAACAAGAGTTTACCCCAGGGATCGTGTACCCATGTTGCTTACGGCCGCTTCGTGCATCGCGTTTCTGTTTAGGCAGGCTGGAAGCATGTGGAAGCCCGGTACGCTTTTCCCGCCTTCTCTCTATCCCTGAAGCAAACCAGGAGGCTGCCGGGTTCAAGGCATGACTGCTTAAAGACAGTTTGAGGCTTGAGGTGAATAATGTAGAGTCTAGAGGCAGTGGGGCCCTTGACGGCTGGGCAGTGGCGGTGAATCGGGGTGAGGGAGGGAAAGCTCCCGGGCCGAGCAATTTGCTTTGGACTCCTTGATTTTGTTTGTCATTGCAACGGGGCATCAGTGAGCTCACGTGCACTATCGGGGCTTTCTGCGCCTGGCGTCGTCTCAAGAGAGTTGAGGGAACCGAAGAATGAGGCCGGCCGGTCGCCTCATCCGCCTCGGTGGAACCTTGCCGCTGAACAGTGCCGTGCAGCTCTCGGAGGAAAGGGGCACCCTGACGAACCCAGAGCTTAAGGCTTCGGGGGCTTTGGGGCTCACGGCTTAGGGCCATGAGTCGGCAGATCATCATGCGCATGATGACGATGATGATGATGGTGATGATATGCTTCTTGTCGGCGGCAGTGGTAGTGGTGTTGATTTCGATGGTCGTATTCTCGCGTCAGCGAGACTGAGGTCGAGCGAGCATCCTTGCAGGGCTTGCAGCTGCTGGCCGCCAGACTGAACCAGCTCTCGCCCGAGGAAACTGTTCAGCGGCTGCGCTTGTTGCTGCTTGCTTGACTTGATCGAGGTCTACTCCCTGGAATGGCCCCACCAACCTGCCCCTGAAGCTCCACGTACAGGTCGAGGACTGGGATGTCAATGTGCCTTTGTGTGATGATTTTATGAGCTTTGATGTGAGGCCCGGGCCCAATTGAGGTATGGGAAGAAGGGTTTTCTGCTTCGCGATGTTTTGGGGCAGACTTGGCAGGGTTTTAGGGCCGCAGTGGTTCAGAGGGCCTGCTTGCGCACGCTGTCAGGACGATCATGGTGACCCTGACAAGGCATGATACAACCTTTATGTTTGCCGGGCCGCTGCCTGAGGTGCGCAGAGGAACGTGTTGCTCTGCCTGAGGCTGCCGAGATCTACGCCCGAATGCTGCGGAACAAGGAGGCAGATTCCCGGTTTGAGCTGATTTCCGAGCCGCTGGCTTGCGTGCTGAGGTCGACTTCCTCTTCGGACTGCACTCCTCGGAGTTGTTCAAGGCGAGACCATCGAGACCCATCCGCCCAATCTTCAAAGCTCCACTTCAAAAGCCGAGGTTGCAGTTGATGCCGGTAATTCTGCGAATGTGCTGACGCTGATCAGCGGCGGTCCGCAGCTGCCTCTGGAAATGTTGTCGTAGGGAATGCGACCTGCACAGTCCAGCTCCCTGGCGTTTGCTCGCAGGCACCTCTTGGGCCCAGCCATCAGGCCTCAGCTGTACAGCCCCTGGACTTTTTCGCCGGATGTTCAGGCAGCGAATCGAGCTGTATGTGCTCTCCATGGTGTGCAGTTGTTTGCAGCCTGACAGGTTCAGGACCAGATGGCAGGAGTTCTCGAAACCTGTCTGCAGATCCGAGATAGCGATATTGATGATCGCGTACAGCATCGTACAGCTTTGTCAGCATTTGCTAAGGAGCTTGTGCAACATCAAGTGCCTCCTGTGAGTTCTGTGGCCATGGTATGGGATGCTCGGAGCTCAAGATCCAGAGCACAAATCCCATGTTGTCACGTCGTGTCCGCCGGCCAAGGGAGGGAGTGCCTTCGACAAAGAGATGTGCACAGGGGCAAGCTCCCATGCACAGCGTAGCTCGGCTCAGCTCTGAGAGATCCCCAGAGGCATCTTTGCAGTCTTTGTGCTGCAGGCTTGGGCATGGACGTTCTGGACAACATGAGCGTCGCAGAGCAGGCCGTTGTATTCCAAGCATGACTTGGCCAAGGAATGTGCGTGCCTGTGCTGCAGGCCATCATGCCACAAATGCGACAGCTCAAGGCTGCAGGTGGGATGTTGTACATCTACTCGCACTGTTCAGGCGCTTTTGGCATGTCTTTGCCCAAGGTCCCGACCTGCTGATAGCCTGTGGCAACTTGCGCAGCGCCGAACAAATTCTCGTTTCTGCCACGTGGCTCTCAAATCTCTGAATATCTCCAAGTGTCTGCTGTTCTTTGACACTGAAGGCCAGCACTTTGGGCGGCGGCCTTGGACTTCGCCGTGCACGGAGCTCGCAGCTCATCGCAGCTCTTCAAGCCTGAGGCTTCATTCCGCGTGGGATCGCTCTCACCGCCGTGTCGACGAGGCAATCAGGGCTCCGTCTCTGCACGTGGCGCCAGAGACGCAGAGCAGAGCAGACATGCCAGGGAAGCGGTGCGCTCCATCGGGGCACATCTCGCGTGGCTCGGAGGAAAAAAAGAGGTGAAGGGCTGGGTCCATAGGCGCCTTACGTCGTAGTGCACCGAGGAATTACGTCTTGAGTCCGCTGACCTGGGAGCCTGTGCCTTCCCAAACCTGCCCTGTCTTTGGCCGGGAGCCCTTGTGAAATCGCAGAGAGAGCCGTTGAATCCCGCCTCTCCTTGAGGTTCTGCACGGGATTTCGCGGATGCCTATCGATCCAAGTTCGGGGAGGCCAGCGTAGTGAGCGTAGCTGCGTAGCCGCAGTTTTTGTGAGAAGCGGAGCTGGGGAGCTGGTCAGAGAGGGCCCGGCAGGAGCCACTGCCGGCCAGCGCCGCAGCGGCAGCAGGGGGCATCGCTCTCTTGGCTGCCGTCAAGACTGTTGGGGGACCTGGGACCTCCCTCTGTGCCTCGGTGTCGGCGTATGTCGGCGTGTGGCCCCAAGGCGAGCAGCCTGGAGCAAGCTGCCGTGCGCGAGGCCAGGCGCTGTGAGCAGCTCTTCAGCTTTTGCCGTGGCCTTCAATGGGTTCGGTCAGAGGCACTGCTTGCGCGAGAGCAGCAGACCTGCTATGGACGACTGGCCTTCAGTATGGATGGTGCTCTGCCTCAGCGTCACTGTCACATCGCACCAAGGAGCTAAGCTTGACAATCTTGAGAACTTCTAGCAGCTTCAAGCATGCTTAAGGTCTCAGGCGGAATCCCATAACACTGGTGCAACAAGTACTGAAGCTCAGAGGGGCTTTGTCCTTCAATCTGGGCAGTCATGAGAGACCTTTGCGTCCCCCGTGGGCCAGGTTCAGCCACTGGATGAGGACTCGTGCACCATCGCAAGTCGTGTCGGTTTTGTTGCACCACCTGCACCGAGAACCGTGCAGTGTTTCCCAAAAGGGGTTGTTTGACCAAACTAGGAGGCAAGAGTGCAGAATTGCCTAGGTTGTGTTATTTTCCTATTGGATGGCTTTGAAGCTTGTTTTTCCGGTTGGTCTGGGCAGGCGCACGGGGTTTCAAGGCGAAAGGGATGTTTTTTAGCTTTTCCCGGAGAAGGGCATATTCCGTATCTGCAACGAAGACTGCTCTCGTGGATGTTTGTTGAGCTAGGGGTATTGAAGATGGTCGACCGACAAGATTCCACGGCCGCCAAATCTTTCGATGGATTGTGGCAGGACCAACCCAAAATGGATCGCTGGACCAGTTCGCAAATTGTTACGGTCGGCCTAGTCCTCAGGCAAGGCTCTAATTGCCACTGCATCTGCCAGCTTTTCGCATGTGCAGGACAGGGGCATATCGGCACAGACGCAGCCAAGGTCAGGAGCAGCCACTGGCTGGATGGCCTTTGCCAACTTGGGCACAGAAGGAAATCGATGTGTACCCGTGCAACCCCGGACAAGCGTGGTGCCTAATCCGGGTCGTGCTCGCAGCTCGCACGAAAGTGACACAGCAGCAAAGACTGGGTGACGATACTCTTCTTTGGCGAGTACAAGAGGTAATCGGCTCAACAATTAACCTCCACGCTGAAGCAGAATCTTAATCACGACAAAAGCAGCGAAGCATCCAGACTTCTTTCAGTACTCGGCGGATGGGTGCGGCTGTGGGAGACATGCAGTCCAATCTGGGGCGGTGCATGAAGCAGTCTCTGTAGTTGCAGCCTGATGGAGCCAGAATTCCGAATCTCGGCACGCAAGGCCGTGGTCCTGGACATCGGTGGCAACGCAACGACGTGCGCGCGCCACGCTCGGCTTCGCCTGTTCCGTGCCCTCGTGGATTTGATGCAGTGCCCCAAAAGACCGGTACCGCGGTGCAGGGAGTGCCCGGCCGGACGCTTCCGCACACCCCGATCAGTGGAATGCGAAGACTGTCAACCGGGAACGTCGGATGCTTAAAGGCCGAAAGCCGCTGGGTGATACTTGTAGGTCGTAGGTCGCGGGTCGTGGTGCTTCTGACTACCAGGTACGGCATGTTGCCGGGTATGAGCCAGTGCGATGTCTGCCCATCTGGAGCTGCATGTCCGGGCAACTCCGAGCTTCCGACTCAAAGCCCTCACGAGAACTTGAAGCCCAAGCAGCTGTGCTCGTGAGATGCCCAGGGTGGTCGCCAAACCTGGCCAGTGTCCCGGACGGGTCCGGACACCATGCGGGAACTGATGGGGTCAGATGCGGTCAGGCTACTATCAGCTTCCGGCAGCGTCCTTGGAGGGCGCCTTCGCTCCCTGGCTGCAGTTGGGTGCGATGGACGCAACGCTGGAAGGAAAAAGCAAAGCTGCAGGTGCCGTGCTACCCGTCGCAGCTGTGCATCGGTGAGAACCAGTGCGTGGAGGCTCACCACGGTATCTTGTGCCCCTGCCTCGGCAGCCAAAGGTCTAAACCTAAATGGGACGAGCAGGAGGAGCAGGAGGTCCAACAAAACACATCCGAGGCCAGAGCTGCGAGTTCGGATTCTCGAAGCCCCTCTGGGGCCTAAAGCGCCTGCGCCTTAAGCGAGAAGCAATAAGCTTTGAGGGTGCTGTCGACGTACCAGTGGGGCTGAGGCGACAAGTGCTCCAAGTGCCCAAGTCAACGAGTAGCGGCCTTGGACAGAGAGGGTACCGAGCCTTCTGTTCAGCTGCAGAGAGGTCACCATTGGAAGCATCGTGCTGACGATCAGTGTCTACGTCGGAGGCTTGGAGACTCACCAGCTTCTCAGCTCAGCTCGTCGAAGAAGATCTGATGGCAGCCACAGGTTCAGAAGCTTTGCCTTCCTCAGAGTGTGGAGTTTGCTGAGGTGTTGTACATCTGGTTGATTGTGAAGGGAACGAAGTCCGCATCACAGTCGATGCGAGCTCTGCCTTCGGTGATCCTGAAGATTGGCCATGGAGCTCAGAGCATTTTTTGGAGCTTCCCAGAACATCTCTGCTTCGCTCTTCAGCTCAGGAGTCAACTACATGCAGTTCGCACGTGCCCTAAGCAAAGGCCAGCATAGTGACCACGACAGGCTTTCCGAGTGTCAGGCCGGCACCGCGTTCGAGGCCACGAACTTCAAAGTCGGTTCCCCAATTGCGAAGCGCCTTTCAGAGCACACCTTGCTGCAAGTCCCAACGACCGTTCAGGGAATGGTGTCGGCGGTCTGTGGGGAAGGCTCCGCCAGCTGGATCTTCCCAGTGGTGGCTCTGTACCATGCTCAGAGCCTATCGTGGTAGCAAAAGGACCCTTTTCGTGCACTGGCTCTGTGCGCAAGATTCAGGCCCGAACGGCTGCAGTATCCGCTGACCACTTTGATGAGTCCCTGGCTAAGCCTGGGGATGTCTTTGAAAACCTTGCAGAGCTCACACGTCCCAAGGCTTGGATTGCATATTGCCAGAGGAGAGCGATGTGCGACCGTATCAGGCTGTCTCGCTCGGATCGCAGTTTCGAAGCAAGTTCTGCATAGCTGGATAGCGCAGGTCGAAATCTTGGTGGGTCTGACCCCCAAGTGCCGATCTGCACTGAATACGTGGATGCCAGCGCTACGCAAGGCTTATTCTTGATGCCGGCAGCCTTCTTCATCATGACGATCTTCGCGTTTGTGCGGAAGGCATCGATCAGACGTCCAGTGCCCGACTCGAGTGGGGAATTGGCAGGACTGCATTGGCCAAAGGCTCATGCCATGGCTCCGGCGGCAGCGAGCCGCTCGCCCGAAACACGCTTTGCCTCTGCGGGAGCAGCTCCTTACAAAGCCATGAACACCTAAGGCACGCTACAAAGCCGGGCGCTCAGGGTTCCTAAGTTGAAAGAACCCTAGGACTAGACGTAGTTCTTTTGCATCTAGAATCAGTCGAGAATCTGGAATCATCTAGATGGCCGTCACTGCTGAGGCAAGGAGGCAAATGCGTGAAGCGGAGCAGATGCCCCAGAGGATTCAGTGCACCCCGTGTCGACACTTCGGCTTGTGTCCTGTTGACGGGCGGGGGCTCCGTTCAGGTTGAGATTTGGCTTCAACTGCAACGCTCATTGCTGAGGCTCGGCGTCATCCAGGAAGCTGCGCAGGAGGCGCTGAAATGCAGGTCTTCTTGAAAGCACTCCTGGTCTGCCCGTGGCGGTGACAGGAGGAGGGTGGCGAGCCAAGCTGTCGAATCTCTGTCCCGCGCGGGGCCCGGATGGAGAGCAACGACAGCGTGGCTGAAGTGGCGGGGACATCGAGGGGAAATCGCGGGAGCTTCCCGTGTCGGCAGAAACAGAGATGCCAGATGCACTGAGACCAGAGACAGGACGGAATGCAGGTCTTTGTGATTTCTTGATACTTTTTCCAACCGAGGGTCTCTCCGTCCTCGGGTGCATCGCCAACGCGTCGGGACCCGACCCACTTGCGCCGCTACCGTGGGCTGGCATAGGTGTATCAATGTAGTTATGAAGGTACGGTATGAAGGTATGTCAATGTCTGTATGATTCTGTATGTATGTCTGTATGTCTGCATGTGTGTGTGTGTGTGTGTTTGTCTGTTTGTCTGTCTGTCCGCCCGTCCGTCCGTCGGTCGGTCGGTCCGTCTATCTGTCTGTCTGTATGTATGCATGTATGTATGTACGTACGCATAAATGAGTAAACAGCCGAAGTATGGCACGAATAGATAGCTGGCTACCTATGACCTCGCTAGCTAGCCAGATACGTAAGTAGGTAGATTGGTGAATAGGTGGTAGATAGACAGATGCACAAATCAGTCAGCAAATGAACGAACAACTGCATGACCAACTAGGTAAACGATTAGAGCAGCAATGTAAATCATCTAAGTTTCATACACAGCCTAAGATGTAAATGAAGAAATCGGTAGAGACGCTTGACATGACTAGTGAGATGCAAACATGAATAGACGTAGATAGGTATAACAAGACGTACAAATAAGCACATACACTCACTAACATACATACTGATGTGTATGTTTGTATGCAAAGGGTCAGTGCATGAAAGGTAAGATGGAGCAGCCCTGTGGCAGGATGCTCGCACGCCCACGTCTCCCACCTCACCGGCATCCCTTAGAGGCAAGCTTGCAAAGAGCAGACGCTGCGGTGAGGACACTCGCATTTGACGGCGAAGCGCCGCCTTCTGTCTTTGCGCCTTTGTTGCCCAAGTCAACATGGGATCCAACAGCGAACAGGGCAACGCGAAGTTGTTTCTGAGCCCACCTGCCTTGCAAGCAGCCGGTGTACCGTTTGCTGGGAAATGAACACTATTCAACACTCAGGAATGATCAAAACGTAAAGAAAACGATCACAGCAGACCTCCAGAACAGCCCTCAATGGTTTCATTGGCACCTCTCCGACCTCACCTGCTGCGTGCTGCTGGCTCAGCTTCGTAACGTCGGTTCGTGCATCTCAGTCGATGTCGGGCGGTGCATACTTCCTATTGATTTGCTTGGTGGGTCCGCGCGATAGACCTGCAGAGGACATCAAGCTATTGCAGCATGTGATGGGTATCCCGATTTCAGCGGAGGAGCCGATGTCTGTTGCATGCCAAAGACGACCCTACGTCGCCCTACGTCCTGGGGCTTGCGTGGTATTTTTTCGCCTTGCTTCAGGCGGCTGAACTCTTCTCTACAGTTTCGGATATGGCAGCAGCTGCTTTGGGGAAGCAGTGTGCCGAGACACTGGGACTTCAGCGTCAACTGTCTTCTTTGGAGCTGACTTGGAGTTGGCTCGCTGTTGCGTGGCGTTGCAGCTTTGATGATCCCGCAAGTCAAGGATGAGATCTGGGAAGGCGATGGTGTCCGTGACGGCTGCACTGCGCTCACTGTGTGCCGAGCGCTCGAGTTCGATCGTGAAGCTGATCAGATTGGAGAATCGGATCTGGAACTCTTTGAGTCGCCGGGAGCAGCGCTCCGTGGCCGCAATGCCTCAGATCCTTGTAGCAGGGCTCCTGAAATGTCAAAGGAGACTCTGTAGAGGCCAACTGACAAAACCCTTCCAGCACAAAGTGAAGCTCGGACGGGTGACATTCAACGAGAAGGCGTCTGGGTTTCCTATGAAATCAGAAGCATCCAGAAGGCAGCCTTCAGGTAGGGGTTAATCGCTGGCAGCCCCGATGCCAACCCAGAAGCGGATAGGTGCAGGCACAGCACCTGATGAGGAACACCGGCCTAGTACAGTCACGATTGCAGCAGTTGGCCTTTCGATTTTCTCCGCCACGAAGGAAGTGAAGTAACAATCAATGCAGCGGAGTTTACGGGAACCCTAACAGATTGCTTCACGCACAGCAGTCAGCTCACACACCACTTCAGGATCAAGTCTCTGTCTGAGGCTTGGCATCCGGACTCTGCGGCACACGCTTCCTGGTGAATTGCTGGGTTGCTTGGTTTCAGAAGGCAGTGTGCTGCGGGGAAACGGGATTCTGCTCATTGCAAGCAGAGGCTTTTACCCGGGAACGGTGATGGATGCCTCCGAGCCCAACCTTCCGAAGAGCGACAAGCTCTTTGCAAATGAGCCGCCCAGCTCACATGATATTTCTCCAACGCAAGCATTTCCACAGAAGAGGCTTCGTGTTGAGAAAGGCGCTTGTATTGCATAAGGTACGATGGCGTGTATCTGGACGGCAAGGGCTGGTTGCCTGCACATTGGCGTGACCATCATCTACTTCAAGGTCAGCCGCTGGCTTGCATCATTCGTGTTGCTTGGAAATTGCTTAGAAGGCGCGAGTGTTGCAATGAAGCACTTGACTCGCTTCTTGGTGCCAGGCCTCGAGCTATTTGGCACGCCAACCGGCTGGCTGCAGGAGCCTCAAGAGTACTCGATGCTGCCGTCCAAGCTGTGACCAGGACGTTCATTTGCGCTTGTAGGTAAGCTGTTGAGGTTGGAAATCTGCTGAACCATCCACCTGCTGGCATCCTGCCAAACTGCATTCCGATGGCATTTCGATGGCCGACGTGGTCAGAGCTGGGTTCGGGCCCTGCCACGCTGGTTGCTGTGTCCGTGTCGTGACTGTCGCAGAGGTGAGGAGAACCCCGCTCTCTGGGCACGGCTACTTCCTCACGTCTTCATGCGGCAAGGACAAGTCGTGCAAACAGCCAGCGGAAGAAAAGATGACCAGGCACACATGACATAGGGGTAAAGCATGCCAGCGAATCGAGTATCTAGAAAAGCTCAGTGGGAGCCCAGGGTGCTGTGAAGTTCCCTGCCTGGCCCTACATGGGTATGGCCTTCATCACTGTGTTAGAGGCTCGCTCGGGAGCCTTGCCTCAAACAGTGAAGCTAGTTGGTGCAGTGTTCAGATTTTGTAGTGCGATGGAAGCAGAGCACAGCATGTGCCTCAAGGAGAGGAGCTCTTCTGGAACTACCGCCGCTCGGCTGATGTTTGGGTATGGGTTGAATGTCTTGACAAAAAACTCAGGGCTGCATCCACGAGACGGCCAGGGCTCCCAGAAGTTCCCGAGTTGGTATTCGCCGGTGGATGAAGACGCTCTGGAGTCGGCTGTCGTCGGTCGGAAAAAGATGCGCGTGCTGCGCGTTTCGGAGCTTGGACATGTCCTTTTCGGGTTCTGTCTAGACTCTAGAGTCTAGAGTTTTCCGCAGGCGAGGACTATCCGCTCACGCCGATGCAGGGGCCTTATGTCGCAAGAGAATTCACACATTCACGCCATCTAAGCTTGTGCGTCGGTCTCACCGGCTGCAGGTCTGCCTATGGGGCTTCTCCAGCCTCTCCTTGGCGGCACTGCCGAACGGAGGATGCAGTCTGGATGCGCTTGTCACTCTAGCCTTCTTGCCGCCATGGACACTTTTTGTCGCTCGAGACTGCAAATCACTCACCTTCAAGAAAGCGCAAAGCTCACGAATGTTGAGCCACGAATGTTGAGCCACGTTCAAGCAGAAGAGCATGAAGTGTCCCAAGATAGATAGCGGGAGAGCATCCTCTAGATGATCTGGTTCACGGCAGCTCGGGTGCATATTCCGGCCAAGACTTTCAAGTAGTTTGCATTCTTGGTAGGCTTTGCGAAAGCGTATAAAGGCTCTGCATGGCGCTCGAGATTCCTGGTGATGGGAATGATGAACAGTGGCAGTTGCTGCCAGAGCTGGAATACACGGATGCGGTTGACTCCTGGAACGTTCGTGCAAGCCCAGAGCTCGATTCTTATGTGCTCTGTGTGCTACAGGCAGGGCAGCCTTTCAGCGTGCTCGGCCAGCAGGAAGATTGGCTCCATATCCGTACCGAAAACGGCGTGAAGGGCTGGAGCTACAAAAAGTTCGGGGAGCGTCAAGTTTTGGTCCCCGTCGGTCATGTTGGCCACGTGACGGTGCAGCCGGAGCTGAGCACCAAGAGCTCCGGGGACCTCTCGGGTCTGATGTCGGAGCTGGGCGAGCGCCGCCGCTCCCTCTCCGAGGCGCCCCCCGCTTCTGCGGAGCTGGTCCGCGCCGCCCAGGGCGTGCAAAAGACCATGGCCAAGCTGGAGCTCTACGGCATCGAGCAGGTCCGGCACATTTTTGTTCGAGGGCACTTCAACAGCCGGGGCGCGCTTCCTTCCCACAGGAGAAACTTCTTGCAGCCGAGGGCCCAGAGGATTTGGCAGCAATCCAGAGAGCTGTGGAGGAATCGATGCAGCCTCCGTTTTTGGGCTTTCATCTTGCATCCGTGCTTTGTGGATGCCAGGACTTGTCCGTTGAGTTGTGCCGATCCTCCTCGTACAAGCACTCGGCGATTTTGCAGCAAGTATGACCTACATCAGAAGTTCGTCTCTCCGATGCATCGCACAGACAGAAAGACAATGAAGATCTGAGGAATTTCAGAACCCGCAGAAAGACAGCTGCTGGCTGTCGACTTTCTTCCAAAGCTTGTGGCATTCCCGCGTCTTCCATGCCCTCTTCGACAGCCTAGTGCGTCCTTTGCCATCGCAGGCACAAGTGGGAAGGGGTAGCTACAGGACCGGGAATGAGTTTTGAATGCGCGTCGATCCGAGTGGATAAGGTTTACATGGGTCCGAGGGTTGCCCCAAGATCATCGATCCAAATATCTCAAATATCTCATGTGTCGACATTTGAGCCTCTGCGCGTGAGCCAGATGTGCAAACAGTCTCCATAGCAAAGGTCAGTGAACCGATGCTTTGATTCATGTCGGAGCGTCCCTGGCAGCTCCGCTGCTTGGGTCAAGGTCAAGATTCAGAACAGCTCCGCAGTTTCGCGATCGAACATGGTTCTGGAAATAGGCCCAGAACTACAGCAACCGTGAATCCATACCAACGATTATGGTTACGATTCAGAAGCTACCCCGATTCAATACCGCGGCTTTCGTTTGTTCCCCTGCATCCTCTAGAGCGATGCTTTCCGACGGTTTCGAGCGGTGATACGTGTAAATGTGTCAGGGTGGTGGAGCTGTCTCTGACGCCCTGCGAGAAACCTGGGAGTTGTACGAGCAAAGCGCTGCGAATGGCCGACCAGTCCCAATCCGATTCCTCGTCGATGCCTGGGGCAGCGGCTATGGCGACTGCGCGGAGGTCGGGCTGTCGTGGTTTCGTACAACAAGAGAAGAGAGCCCCGAAGTTGCTGTGAGGCCTTCGCGAAACTGCAGGAGGTTTCCTGACTCTGGTTGCGCAGTTCACATTGCAAGTGCATGTGTGCATCTGACGAGAGACCTGGGATTCCTTGACCTTGAAGGACCCGTGCTTGAAACCCTTGGCTGAGCTCATTGCATCCGTGCCTGTGAATTTTAGCGGCGAAGCCTTCACAGCGGTTGAATTCTGGAAAGATGTCGTAGACATGGGCTGCTTGGCGGCATGAGGGATCGGTTGAAACGCCAGCCACAAAATCCAGAAACATCCTAAACCCAAAACGGTCGCTCGAGGTGTCCAGGATGCACCTTTGCTGGCACTGGACCTGGTGCTGCCCTCGATGTCCAGCGGCTCCATTCTCAATCTCGTCCTCGCCATGGTGCCACGCACCTAAACCTTTTTGAGCACCCCTTTTCCCTGTGTGGCTGTTTAGGTTCAGTATTCCAGAGCTTTCGGAGTCCTCCGTGAGTCGCTTCATATCGCTCAATGGTGAACCCTTCAGGCAAACATCGGTGCGCTAATGGACCTGTCCAGGTTTTGGGTCTGCCAGGGCCGCTAAGCGAACAAATGGTGTGGTCCAGAAGATCCCACACCACCCGTAGTGCTTCCGCTCACTGGCAGCCATCGATGCGCAGTGTCGACAGGTGGCAAAGCACGCGGAGAGCACATGGCGGACCTTGGAGACAGCCACCACTTGGTTGCCATGATCTGCTACATCGAAGCATTTCAGCATTATGTGGCTGGCCTGCTACCAGTACGAGTCAAGCCTAGGCAGTGCGTTCATCAAGCAGGTGACTTGGTTAAGTTAACCTGTGCGATGACAACAGAGGTAGTTTTCTGCCGGCGGCAGTCTGCCCCCTGGCCAGCAATTAGCACAAAGGATCGTGAGTAGTGCTATGTAGTGCTTTCTGCTGATCGTGATCTTAACGGCTGGCTGGCAGGATGACAACTGCTGGCTCTTTTTCAATGACTTGCCAGGCATGGATGGATTGCTCTCTGACAGCCCGGTCCAGTCGTCCACGAATGTAGACCTGCAGCCCACAAGCGGAACCTCCTTGCAAAGATTGGTACCAAAGTCCTGTTGAAGTCGTAGCGGAGCCCGTGTGTGTAAGATGTGTCTCCCAGCCTCACGTCAACGCGGCAAGTCGGCGAAATTCTGGCGGGTTGGATCGATGTCAGGCGTTGCTCGGGGCGTTCGCAAAGAGTTCTTCGGTTGGGTGGCCATCGCTCACGAATGTGCGCGCTGCCGGGCTGCATGGCGCGGATGCCCACGCATGTGAACGCCTCGAAACGACTGCCGAGGCTTCGAGCTGAGACCGAAGGTTCTCCTGTATGCTTCTCGACTGCAGAAGCCTTGTGGTTTTTGCTTCCCTGGTCTTTGCTTGGAGGAGAGCCCGAAGAAGGCGCAGGAGACCATGAAGTCAGGGAGCCCAATGCTGCGAGCCTCAATCCAGGTGGGGCTACCATTACCACCACCATCATCATCTACTTATACTTCTACTACTATACACTCCTTCTACTCCTGGTTCTTCTACCTTCTCTACTTCCTCTACTTCTTCTTCCACTTCTTATACTACTTCTACTTCTTCTCCTACTTTTCTGCTTCTACTACTTCTTCTACTTCTGCTACTTCTGCTACTTCTCTACTTCTACTTCCACTACTCCTACTCCTCCTACTCCCACTCCTGCTCCTACTGCTCCTACTCCTGCTGCTGCTGCTGCTGCTGCTGCTGCTGCTGCTGCTAGCACCACTGCTAGAAGCCTGGCCCGTCAGCTTGCTGCAGATGTAGGGTTGACACCATGGCAAGGCCGCGGCTGCGGCCAAGCTACATAGAACTCCGTGGGGCCTCTGGAGTCTGGGAGTATGCCCGGCTCTCGGACACAGTGAGCAGTCCGTGGAGCTCTGCCTCATAGCCCCTTTCTTCCCTCAAGACGTAAGCCCTAAACCTTCTTGACACCCCAGGAAACCCACGCAACCCCATGAGACCCCACGCAACCCCATGAAACCCTATGCAACCTTATGAATGCCTCTGAACCCCTCTGAAGGCATTCTCGTGGTGGTCATCGCCTTGGTTCTGCAGCAGCTCCGAGAGATTCAGGGCATCCTGCGAGTCGGTAGCCCGCGGTGAAAACGGTCCGTGCCTGCTTTGTGAAGGGTCCAGTCACCCTGGCTCCTTTTTATTCTCTGACAGTTGTTTTGGATGTTGTTCTGAAGCAGTTTGTATTTTGTGATGCTGGAGTATGTTCAGGCTTTGTGGTTACACCTTTGCTTCATGTGGCTTGGCCAGGACTCCGTGGGGGATCGACCCCGGGATGCTGCAACCAAGGCTGGCAGCTTTGTTTCATCGCCCTTTGGCGTGGTAGCACTGAGATGTGATGTGCTGAACATGCCAGATCTTGGTCAACTCTGTGGCCATGCGCTTCATCAACTCGGTGATCGTCATGAGCTTCATTCTCCATCCCGTGGTGGTGAGGCCGTCTCCTTATCAAGTCGAGACTCAACCTGAGCTCAGCGCACGCCCTCTGCTGTGAGTTCGGTGTAGGATCCTGGTGGTCGGCTTCGAATGCGAGGAGCTCGACGTCCTTCGCCACAGGCCGGTTGCTGAGCAGCCTGCCACTCTACTGTAGCTGTGCTTTTGCGCATTTCCCAGCAGATGTTGTGGGTGTGATTGGTGTGATGGTGACACACGGTCTGCTTCCAGCAGGCATGACCTCGGAGTAGAGTGCAAATCCACCACCCACATGCCTGCTACCCGGACCGGTCTCATGGAGTGTCTGCTGGAAGCAGTGCGAAGCTCCCAAGGCAGTGGCTTTGCTTAAGCACCGTGGGCCTTGTTGTCTACGGAATCGGCGTGCCGGTCGACACCCCAGAGCGCCTACAGCCGCTGTGATTGGAGGTTCTGTGCATTTGTTGTCAGGTTGCACTCTTCATAGCACTCTTCAGAGTTCGGAAGCGCCTCTTCCATGCGGACCGGATGGGCTGCAGCTGCATCGTGAAGCCCCGCAGTGTCTGCCTCTTCCCATCAGCGCATGCCCAGCTGCCGAGAGGAAGTTCGAAAGAGATTCGGCTTCCTGTACAATGGCTTTGAGTCGCAAGCTCGATCTGCAAGGAAAAGTGTCCGACAGGGCTCAGAAAGCGGCATCTTCGTCCAGGCTCAGATATTACTATTTCGAATCAGCGGAGCACTGAGGGCAGGAAGTCGTTCCTTTGCCACCGGCCGGTCTTGCCGTTCTCTCCCAGGTGTACATGTTCAGGAAGGTGATGATCCTTCTCTTTTTCACTGCTCCGACAATGTACGTGCGAATGGTGCCTTAGCTGGATCTTGGAACCTCTTGGCATGTTGGATGTCTGCTTTGGTGTGGCAGGTTCTCATGCTCTTCACCTCCTTTGGCTTCATCTTGCTGCACGTGTATTCCGGCCCCTTTGACAACCGTAGCTACCTCTGCCCCTTCCTTAGTCCTTAGGAAGTGCCTCGTTGAGCAGCCTTCCATAGCCTTCCCAGTCCGTCTGCAGCTCTTGAGGCCTTGATCGGCTCGAGGCCTTGAACCTGCTGGCGGGGCCCCAAAAGCCCCTAAAAGCTGCGCTGGCGGCCAAGGGCCGAGCCTTGTCGCCAAGGCGCTGACCGTGACGGTGTCGGCACGCCTCATCTTCGACATCCGGCAGGTTAGGGCCGCGTCGCTAGGTCGTTATTCCGGAACCTCGCAGATTTTCTTGGGAGCTTGGTTGTGCCCTTCATGGCGAGGTTGAGGGGCTTCAAGTTTGAGCCTGAATGCTTTCATGCCAAGACTCATACCGTGTCACAACAGACGAAAACCATTCAGGAGCACGCCAGCATGCTGATTATTAACAACAGGTACATGAACGTTGATTGTCAATATTCCCTGCTCGACGAAGAAAATATTTTGTCAACTGAGTCAAAAAAGAGCCAGTGCTGAACATACGTAGATGCAGAACGCCAAGGACTGTTACTCGAAGTAAACGAAGAGCAAGCACAGGAGTTCAAAAATGGCTCATGAATGGCGTAGATAGAACGGGTCGGAGCAAACCCCGAACCAATCCCAATACTCTTAAGCACGGATGCGATCTTAAAGCTCAGCGCATCTTCATACTCAGTTTCGCTATAGACGCTAGATCTCAAGGAATGCAGATGTTTGCTAGGTAAGATTTGAGCGAGGTTATGCGAAGATGAGTCAACATTATTCAACAAGCGTAAAGTGTATCAAACATGCCAGTGAACGTAGCGGTAGTCTTGATTTGCTGCGTAGCGCGGTTTAGATGTAGAGCATGGTGGCAAACCAAATCAACAATCTTTCAAGGACGATGTTGTTGTTGTGCAGATATGAAGTGGTCAGGTTGCTCATTTACGCTCGGCATCATCATTCTTTGTGTATCATACGAGATTTTGGTTGGCTTTTAAGCATGCTGGATACTGTATCAGGCACGGGCGTGGTGTTTTGGAACCATGACCGCATGACCTGAACATAACTTGGCTAGAACTTCGTGTTTATGGTGTCGTCTACAGCTCGGTTGGAAATCTAACAGACTCAACATAGTCTTTATCCTTGAACCTCAAAGCTGAAGAACTGCTAAACCCCCACACGCAAGAGAACATGGTCAAAACATGGTGTTTTGCGTGGGTTGGTTTTGATATCTGTCCATGTAGTATGACGGGTATTGGGTTTTGTAGTTTTTGAGTCTAGATATTGTGTGGTGGATGGTACTCGTATGATCAGTGCTTTGATACTTTGGCTGATGCCATCAGTACTTGCGCAGTCAGGCACCCGCAGGCATACACGCGCAAATGCAGATGTTAGTGTGATGCAGCTGCCTTGACGGCAGGAACTCTCAGGCGAGTTCTTCGAGGACTTGTTGGGCTGGCACGTGCCCTTTCGACTCCGGTTTGGCGAACCGAGGACTTCGTGAACCATTGGACCATGGACATCGTCCTGGTGCCGGCAGCTTGGTGTTGCGGGTCAGAGTTGACAACCAGAATTGGCACGATGTGTATGGAACCGGCAAGCTTCGTGCTTGTACCGAGTCCTGAAGAGTGTAGCTGTCCGGAAAGGGAAAAGATGGTTCCAGTCAAAAGCACCGTCAAGAAACACGAGCAATGGTTTGTAGCATTGTGAAGGCACTCCCGGGCACATGTCTGGGTGGTAACTGCGCGTGGTTGAAGCAGCTGACATTCACGCCTGGCCTCCACCGTAAACTAGCTCCTGCCTCCACAAGCACTTGGGTCACTTCTAGGTCTCCTCATACTTGTGCGCTGGGCTAGCTCCAAGTGGACATCTTGAAAAGATGTCTTGTGGAACTGTGCCCCTTTGCGCCATGGACTCCAGCTCTTCCTACTCCTCGGATGATGAGCTCTTCGTCGACAAGCTTTCAGATTCCCCCGAGCCTGAGCTCATGCCCAAAGACCCAGCTGGAGTGCGCTTCTACTGGTGACACGGCTGCACCTGGACCGCCTGGCGCAACGAAGGGTTGCTTCAGACGTGACGGAGTTGTAAGTCACCTAGAACGGGGTTTTGCCCATCTCAGCCACCCAAGAGCAGCCTGGTATCTCTCCAAACATGCTATTTACTTCTTAGAATAGCAATTCGTCCTAGTCTGAGCAATCCCCAAAATGGGCAGGCACAGGCTTTGCTCATCTGGGCTGTGTCTGCGTGTGCTTATCCTGGGAGCCAAGTTTTGCGAAGAGTATGTGCGAGTATTTGCCCCTATAATGGAACCGAAGATGGTCAAACGTTATCGTTGTGAATTAGGATTCAAGGCATGGGTTGCTGCTGTTGCAGGAATTGCTCGCTCTGTCGCAACTCGAACCATGCAAGTTCACAGGGCAACCTGCTGCCACGCATAGTCTCGTGACTCGTGCATTCCGTCTTACCATTCTCCTAAACATCCTATCCTGTCGTCAGGGGCATTAGGCCCTAGTTCTTCGTGGCTGCCCAGTTCCAAGAAGGGACGGAAGAGGACACAGCCCCAGCCTGCATGGAGACGGGTGCAAATCTCTTTCAGTTGATAACATGTGTAGGTTCTGAAAGTTCCAGTGTTCATTCATGGACAGCTCTTTGCACAACATCGGCAGCACAGTGCAGCCAACCTGTGTTGTATGTGTGCCCCACCAGCGGCAGCAGTCTCAAGATCAAGAATATTGACAATTGGTGTTGCCGTGGGAGCCGCTTCCGGAGCCGCATGAAGCAGCTCTTCGAGCAGTGCCTCGCAAAAGTCTTGCTCAACTTCGCGGGCTACTGTGACGGCGCGTGTTCGAGTGGGGGTTCGAGTGGGGCAAGCGACGTTCTGGGAGTATCGTTCTGCTCCTTTGAGAATTGTCCAAGGGAGCACCCTCGTTCAGAAGTACGTGCTCCTCCAAATGACAAAGGTGGGAGGGACTACACATGACTAGAGCGTGGCAGAACATCCAGCCCGGAAGAATTGCTGGGAGACCACACAGATGGCACGCATGATCGACCAAGCAGAGGAGGCCTTGGAGAATGCTACGGGTATCTGGGGAAGAAGTGCAACTCCAGGCCGGCTGGGGCCTGGGCCTTTGGAGAACCGGAGCATCTCGGATCTCATCCCCGGCCGGCTCGGAAGGGTCGGAAGGTAGGCAACGGCAACTGCTACGAGTCTCACTTCTTGACGAGCTCGGCCCAAGAAAGGCTGCAGGACTTGGCAGGCGCCGTCCTCCGCGGAACGGAAGGAGTGGGTACGGACAGTCTCGAGCAGCGATCTGAGGTCTGACTAAAACGGGATTTGCTGTCAAGCGATCATGCTCATGACACAGCGGACGACCAGCACCGGCACGGCTAACAGACTCAACACGCCTCCGTGAAGCGTCGGTTCCCGATCGCTTCGAATGCCCATACTACCTTGTGAAGGTTGACGCGTTTGCATTTGCTATATCCATGTCAGCTATGCTGCTAGCTAGCTCCATGCTAACCGAGCTCCACGGTCCATCAACGTTTCGCCGCGGACGTCATGAGGCTGTCACAGGGCGCAGATCAAAGGGGAGACGTCAGATGGCAGAGTGTTTTCAGTCAAGACCACGGAGAGGTTCCAGTCGGCATTCCGACCTACATCCTGATGAGCACCGATGGTTTCCAGCCGCTGCAAGTAGGCCTTTCCCAACATGTACACTGCTCGAAAGTTCTGGAGGGTGAAACTCCACAGAAGCATTCAGAATGGAAAGAGTTGGCAGGGAGTCTTCACATGGATGCCTGGTTTCATGTGAACGATTTTGTGTATGGTGGAGGAAGGATCCAGTTCTCGTGAGGTCATCGGCGTGAAGCTTGTTGATCTACGTCGGGTTGGAAAGAGACTCAGGTAGCCCCGGAGAAAGCGACATGACGTTGCCACACATGGCAAGCATTGCCAGATGTGTCTGAGCAGCGATCACAAGATTGGAGAGAAGCATCGCAAAGGATGGCGAGCGCCTGTCGTGACTGCGCAGTCCCAGACCTGCCTCCAGACGAGCCGGTAGGCGTTTTCAATGCAGACTTGCAGTTGCGGTGAAACTGGTGCAATATGTAAGTCAATGTAAGTATGATGTCAGCAAGTACAAGCTTGAGCCACACAGCTATCACAGATTTGAGAGTGAGTGGATGATTATGCATGAACTGCGTGCTAGCACAACAAACAATCCAATTACGCTAAAGACATATGCCCTAGTGATGATCTACGTTTGCCCGAACTTATCATTGAAAGAGCAACCTACTACCCCAAGCCCTGAAGCCTACAGTAAAAGAGCCTAGCTTAGCCTGCGTTGGGTGGGTGTTATCAGGGTACAGACTAATCATGTTTGCCAAAATTTTTGGAGATAGTGGTGGTGGTAACCGGCAAAGTCCTAACTGAGTCTTCCCTCCAAGGAGAACTTTTGCAGCCTACGTTGGACCAGGACCTGTGCTTTCTGCGTTTGCAACTTGCTGATTCCGTCGCAGGCCTGTCTCGACCTGCAACTCCTGACATCCTCAAGAGTGACCTATCTCTGTAGGATGGTTGATGAGCTTAGCCTACTTGGATCCCGGTAACCTGGAGAGCGACCTACAAAGTGGTGCCTACACGGGCCACAGCCTCCTCTGGGCCGGTGCCTCAGACTTCGACTCACAGTCCCGTAGTGTGCAGACATGGCTGGATTTCGGGAAACAGCTGCACCCACAGAGGTCTTGCTGCTGTGCCGCTTGTCTTTGATTCGTCGATCACCCAACTGGCCCAGATCTTCCCACACCCTGCACCTTAAACCCTCTTTCCTGGAGTCCTATATACCATCCTATACCCTAAAACCTAAACCCTGACCCTAAAGCCCTGGTTCCTGAGGCACCGTGGCCGGCCTCATCCTGCAAGTTCTGGCCGCACGACTGGCTGTGGTGACAGGTCAGCTCCTAAAATGACAGCAATGTCAGCCGAGTAGAATCGTAGGGGGAGACCAAAAAGAGCTCTAGTGCTTCTTCTATTTACCAAGATCGTGGTGGTGGAATAGAACCGTTGCAACCAGGAGAGCAACCACGGCTGATGCTAAGACTATGGCCCCACGATTGCTGGGAAACTCTTCTCGGTTCCAGGATCCATCTATGCTGCAATGTTGAGTTTGGAAAAGATTCGGAGACCCAAACTGACGGTCCCGCGAGCGATACATACACAGATGTATACGTACATGTGACATACATCGCCACACAGGTGTACATACCCGACAAACGAGTTCATAAGAGTAATAGTAACAGTAACTCAAGTTGTTGATAGCTTAGCATGAATGTTTGTCTCAGCATGGAGGGGACTAGCCAGTCGGTGTGAGTGGGCGAGTGGGTAAAAGTAGGAGGTCGTGACTGTGCGCGAGCATGTGCAGCAGTGTCCAGGTGTGTATGCGACTTGTGTGCATGACTGTGGCGTCACTGTCAAGATGCGCATTGCGGCTCGATTCCTAGTTTGCGAGGTTGGTCTGCAAGGCTAATGTAGGAAACTGGTAAAGAAACCGTGGCCCTGCAACCCCAAGTATTAGGATTCATAATATGAAGAACCCTAATGAAGAGCCAGGGTCTCTTAATCGGGTTCCTACATTACCTCTCCACTCCTAGGAGTATTCTTTTTGTTTCAACTGCTGCGTAGTAGTCTTGGCAGTTGCGATCTGCGACCCTTCGAGGACGTGATCTTGCGCAGACCTGCCGTCTGGGATACCCACGCCAGCTGTCGAGGCTGCTGTGGATCATGACAGCCACTCGGTACAACGGACAAGGGCTTCGGAAATGGATACTCTTATGGACATTTTCCAGCGTCACGTAGGCTCCCCGAGGAATCTCGATTCGGATCCATGTTTGACCCCACAGCAACGAGCACGGGATGAGCAAGGCATAGGGTGCTCATGAAAGAACGAAACTCATCCGAGGCGCGCCCAGGGCTCCCAGACAGATTGGTTGAAACTGCAATTCCAGTAAATCCTGTGACTTATCACACCGACTTGTTACCCCGACACCCATTCCGCGTGCCATATCCATACCATGCTGAGAGTTCATGTCGCATGTTTCGCCTTGGGCTCCATATTTATCATTGGAATCAAAGCCCCACGTAGAAGTGCGGAAGTATCACTCCTCACGATGATACCTTCGGCGAGACATGGACACTCGAAACACCACAGCTCCTACTAGTCGAGGACAGCTGAAAGGTATAGTTTGCTGTTTGCAGATACTTTCAAGGAGCTGGCCATTATCGGTGCCGACATACAGGAAGTGGTTGGCACAGGAATTGCTCTGCGGTTTTCTGGAGTGCATGCAGCAACTGGTTCTTTTGGTTGTTTTTCGACCCTGGATCCACCAGTGTCACCCAGCTATTTCGAAATCCGAGGGTGCTTTTTGGATGGCCTCTATGGGCTGCTTGGAAGCAGGAGGATACCATGGCAGTAGCACAGAAGCGGCTGATTAGCGGAGGTGGGCTCTTTGGCTACGGGTGTGGACACTTTCACCTTCCTTCTGATCCACCAACTGGGGAAGCGCTTCCTGGAGATCTTTATCTTGATCCTCATCTCCCTGCCCTCGGGCCAGCACAGAGCGTCTTTGCCTGGTACGGGCTCATTGATGTGGGGTTCACGGGGTTCACCTCAGGTTGCTCATCTGCTACTTGGTGAACTTGTTCTTGATGCCTCCTTCTGCAGAGCAGTTCCTGCATGGCTTCCATTTCCACTGCGAAGACTATGCCGGACTGCAGCTTGTGGGGAGTGTGGGTGCCATGATCATGCCGCACAACTTATACCTGCACAGCGGGATCTGCAAGCAGCGTCTCAGACTCAGAAATCTTACAGCACGCACAGCAAACCCCTTGCTTCTTTGTTCGCTTCCTGTTGTCATGATGGTCTGCCCAATGTGCAGGCACTGCCAACCGGAAGGATGTGGAGCATGTCCGGCAAGCCAACAAGTACACAGCAGTTTCCTGGTCAAGTCGCAGGAAAGCGGGTTGTTTTCTCAGATTCGAACCTCAAGTCCAAGACATTTCCCAAGTGAGTACATTCCTACTCCTCTTCTAAGATGCTTTTGCCACTATGAGTCATGATTGTTGTGAGAATGATTATGCTGAGTCCAGAAGAGAGGCGGTGCGGAGCTCTGTGGAATGCTTGTGAGAAGCCGAGGCTGACTCGAGCATTGCTCTTGTCATCACCTTCCTCATCAATGCTGCTCTCATGTCGACATTTGCCACCGGCTTTTTCAACAGAGATTGTGCGCTCGCCGAGAACGGACCGCTGGCCTGCCTGCCCAGTAGGGGCAGCCGTGGCTGTTTCGGTAGTCACTGCAGCTCCTGCACGACGGGCGCCGGAAGTGCAGGCTTTTGCGGGGAGATAGGCTTGGCCGAGGCGGGCGATTCCTTGCGTCGGCTCTTCGGTGGCCGCGGTGATATTGGACGGAGCATGTTCGCCCTAGGCTTGTTAGCAGCAGGCCAGGCTTCCACGATGACCGGCACCATCGCCGGCCAGTGCGTGATGGAAGGATTCCTGGATTGGCGGATTCCACTGTGGCTTCGAACTCTGGTCACGCGGCTTATCTCGCTGGGCCCGGCTGTGGCTGTGGCGGTGCTGACAAGCTCCTCCCCGAACTTGAACAACCGGGTGAACCAGTGGATCAACGTCCTGCAATCTGTGCAGCTGCCTTTTGCGTTGGTGCCAGTACTTCACTTCAACTCGGACAAGGCGTTGATGGGAGAGTTTGTGCTCAAAAAGCATTTTCAGGTGTTTTGCTGGCTCTTGGCCATGTTGGTCATATCGGTGAATGTCTATCTGGTGGCGCAAAACATGGAAGGAGGGAGCCATCTCCTGCAAGCCTTGACGATGCTTTTCTTTGCCATCTATGGATCTCTCATCTTGTTTACGATGTCAGCCGATCTGAAGCGGGTCTACAATGCCCTTTCCCGGCTTGGTATGCACTCCTCTTCAGATGTCACTGCCTAGGGTCCAGGCCTTGAACTTGAACAATCGGGCGAGCCAGTGGATCAATGTCAAGGTTGCAGTCCATCGGTGCAATTTTCAACCTGACATGCCGATGGCCTGAACAGGGGCGTCAGTGGCCCAGCTGGCACAAGGCAGGTAATTGTTCATGACTGTTCATGAGCCACGCCTCAAATCGAGCAGCTGCTGCGCACCACTTCAACTCCCACATGGTGGGAGTTGGGAGAGCTCAGCAGAATGGATTAAGGCCGTTGGCCATGGCATGGTGATAATGTCGGTGGATGTCTACCTGGTGGCTCTGGTGGCAGAGACCATGCAGGGAGGAGCCTTCTTCTGCAAAGCTTGTGCGATGACTTTCGTTGATCTGAAGCGGGTCTACACTGCCATACAATGCCTTTATTTGGCTTGTTACATCTTGGTCACGCATTCAGCATCAGATGTCGCTGCTTTTACTTTTCCAGACGTGCAGGCGTCATCAAGAGTCTGACGTGGCCTCTGACAGTGAATGTCGAGCCTACATTCATATTTTCGGTCAAGTTTAGGTTGCTTATTCGGGTGCCCTTCTAAAGCGAAGGGATCGGTAGCTCCGTGCACGCTCTTGGGCCTGATCGGTCTCCTCATGATTTGCAACAACGATACGTGGCGTTTGCCTGACAGTCCTGGCAGCAGCAAAGTCAGCAGCACTCTTTGCCAAGGGCAGGGCCTCTGCTGGCCCATGCAGCCTTCATCTGGTTTGCGCTCTGGTCTCTCTTCAGGCAGGACACAGCCACCGCCTCGCGCATCTCGCGCCTCGCTGCATTCTTCTTGCAGGAACACAGTTCTCAAACATCTGCTCCTCAAGGCCGAGATCTGGCCCGAGAAGATGTCGGAGCCTTATGGGGCCGTCTCACGGCGCAACGGGGGCGGGGGCGCCTGCGTGACAGGTCCCGCTTGCAGAAGTGCCTGCTCGGTCTCGAAATCCACAAGCAGAAGGCGCACGGATCGCCAACGGCTCGAAAAATGGCGTTGCTTTTGCATGCTTTTGCTGTTCAGGCGGCATTTGATGAAGACGAGCGTGGCTTGTGGATCGACACTAGCTCCCTTAGCAAGCAGGAATGCCTTCGAGTGAAGCATGTTTTGCAAAGGCGGATCCGTTCATGCCGGGGTTGGTTGCTTACGCTTGCTTTTGCGAGGAGCGGCATTACATGTTCGTGGCGATGTGTGACACGCCGAAGCCTCGGCTCCCACGATTGATGATGTCGGCCGCAGTTGTCAAAACGGATGCGGAGGCTACATCGGTACATGAACAGCAGCAAACGGGTTCACCCTGGTGATGTCACGGCAGCTATTCAAGAAGCCCTTATTCGGTCCGGCGCATACTTTTTGGCTGAGTCTTCACTGTCAAGCCGGAGGTAATGCCCAAGCCAATTGTCGAGGTGCCGCCGGGCACGCCGAAAGCGGGCTGTTCGCCTGGAGCAGCTGGACAGGCTTGCGCATGTGTCGCGCGAGTGGACACAGGTAGACGAAGTGAAGTGAACCGTTGCGCAGGGAGTTTCGGGAACAACGCCAGCATGGTCGTCGTGGATGCGGGGGGCTGAAATTTAAGTTTTGCCGCTCCTTCTCAGCGCTGGGAATGTGCCGCTGTTGCCACTCCATCCCAAAGCCACAATCGGCTAAGGTTTGTCTCGGCTAATTCGGTGGCAACGGGTTATGAGCATTTCCTTATACGGTGACCGACAGACAGAGCTGGAGGCCCAGAGAAAGCGTGATGCAAACAGAATAAATACTTTCCCTCCGCTCTTTATCTATAATAAGATAAGTCGCGGAGTCCGCTTTGTGATTGAGGTTGCAAGAGCAAGAACCCGGCTGTGCGGTCCCTTAGAGAGCCTTTGGAAGTGGTCCTGCTTTGCGGTCTGTCCACTGCGATCCGAAAGCATGTGTTGGACAGATTTTGGCTCACAGCCAACCGCTGGATGTACCAGTAATGTCAAGACTGGCGAACATGGTAGCCCAGCACCAAAGCGACAAATGTTGGCATCGCGGCTGACTCGGCGCCGAGTCCTCCAGGCAGCACGGGGCCTTGAATGGTTCTTGTCGGTGCTTCCTCCTATTCTTGTTCTGAAGTCTGAAGGGTGCAGGGAAAGAAAGCCCTACCGTGTTGGTTTTGACTGCCGCCAGGATGTTCCGCTCCGGATGCCCCCAGAGGAAATCAGGACCGGTCGCGCCTCGTAATGGGCGAAAATCTGTGCTGCGTGCCGCTGTGCTCCCTTGCCTTCAGGACCTGCTAATCCTGCTGGTTTATGGATGCAGACGCGCCCTGTGCGAGAATTGGGACTGGCGTGGAAGAGGAAAACGCAGAGCTACATGGGGAAGGGAGACGCTCGCAGAATTTCAGTGACAACGAGTCCGGAGTGGTTTTTGAAACTCTGTCAACCACTTTCGAGTTCTTGGGGTCTTGTGTCCTGTGAAGGCTGCTCCTTGTTCTTGGACGATGCTACTGGGACAGCAGCTGCGGAAGCGCTCCACACGAAGAGCTGCCGACCAGGAGGCCAAAGCGACCCGAGTCCTCTGGGCGTAGCAGTTCTGGCCCTGAGAATCTTTCAGGCACAGAAGAAGGGAGCTCCAAAAAAGTATTTGATGCTTGAGCCACTCGCCTGCGCTTTCGCGGCATTGTGCTCTCATCAGAAGCTCGCTCAGGACAGAGAAGGGAGACGTGTCTCTCCTGCTGCGTCCAGACTCCGCACCCCGCACAGTCGAGCACGTCTGTGCCGGGCTTACGGTTCAAGACGTCTCCTCAGACGGTCTAACGCCAGCTTCAAGCTGGTGCATGTCCAGGTAAATTGGTGAACGCGTCTCTTTACGACGGATGCTACTTCTACCGATCGGATTTCGTTCTCCAGTGCCTCGGTGAGCTCGTGTCGTGGACCGGCCTTGCTGGCCGCTGGACTGGCTCCGAGGTGGGGCCTCTGGCTGCCGAGCGAGACCGAGGCGCCGCCATGCGCCGCCTTTTTTTTGCGCCTGAACCCTAAACCTCCGACGTGAAAAAATCCGGGAGGTGAAGAACCCATATCCAGACATCGAAGAGAACGTCACTCGGTGATAATTATTACTCTTGCTAATAACATCATCGGGGAGTACCAGGCTGAGTTGCCTTGAGTTGTCGGCTGGTGCCCATGCAAGGAGACACAAATTGGCACTTTCATCTCCAATGTGCCTGGCACGGTCGCAGTGGCGCATGGCATTGGCGTGAACGGCAACTCGGATATCTTCATCAACCTTAAGGACGGGCCTTGGGTTTGGGGGTCAGAAAGCTCGGAGTACACGGCGCGTCGAGCTGTGTTCTTTGAAGCATTCCAACAAATCATTGGAACGGCGCTTTTGGCTCTCGGGCAGGAGCACGTGTAAATGCTATTCTGACGCTGTCATACAGCCCTAAGCTTTCGAAAATAGTGACACCTTCGAAGAAGGCTCTTTCTGTCCGGAGTAAACAATATCGCCCTCCTCGGACACTGCCTGTGGACAGCTGCTCTTTCGTAAAGTCTGTCGGGCCACGTGCCTCGATCTCCGGCTCAAACGTCGTTATGTTTGTTCGGAAGCGTTATCGGCCCGTTGGTTTGTGAGCTGTCTGAAGAATCTATCTGTCTGTCCTGAGCTATTTCAGAGATGGACGTAGTGCAGTTCCCAAACGGGGGACGAGCAACGCTCGTTCCAGTCAAAAGTCCAATAGGGCACATTGCCTGTTGCAATTCTGGTGGGAGGCGTGTTGTGATAGCTGGCCGGTTGTTTTTCGAGAGGACAACAGCTACTTGGACACCATGTCGCTGGGCTTTTGTGCCGTGAGCTCAGGTTAAACACTGTGTCCTTCAGCTCTGCTTATTTCAAACCCATGAGAGAGATCTTAAATAGTTCATGGTCGAGACAATCAGACGAGCGTCTAGTGGTCGGCATCGTGCACACGAGCATATCGCCGTGACCGGCCGCCACAACAACATTCCAGGTATTTGCAGAGCTGGCTGATGCCGAAAGCCGTCGGGTTGTGAATGAGCTTGCTGCGGCTGTTCTCAAGGACGAGAAGCCTGCCTCTCGATGCGAGTAAGCTTGAAGCGGCAATTCGCAACATGTGTCCCACGAGCATATCGTTCTTGTGCCGAGAAGCATCGTCACTTGCTGAGGTAATTACGCGGGATTTGGACTCAGTCTCAACATGCTCGGCTTCACCTGACTCAGACTCTCTGTCACGGTCTTTGCTGTTGCAGTTGTCTAAGCCTAAGCCTGAGTTTTTGTTTCTGCCAAGGCCTCCATCATCAGCCAGCAGCGCCCGGCAAAGAGGCTTCTTGGAAGGTTTTGTTCGAGCGAGTGTGGCTTGGGCAGTGTCCGGCCTTGATCAGGCTGCCATTGGCGATCGTGATGGAGAAAAGTTACAACACTTTTCGTGGTGAATGGGATGGATTCTTTCAACCTGTCGTCAAATCCCAAGAGGAGCCAGGTTGAATCCTCGTACTTTCCGGTGCTTCAAAGTCTAAGCACTGTGTGGCTTGTCTGCTACAAAGTGATGCAGACTGGACACACCACTTCAGGCTGTTGGCTTGTGAAACCAACGGCTGATCAACTGCTGTCCACCCCTGCCAAAGATGCTGGGGTGACGTGCCATGCGGTGCCGAAGAAGCGACGCATTACAGTACATGTTCTGCAACCAGCCGCGGAATGCCTCACATAAGCAATTTGTGGCCGAGGCATTGAGACTTTGCTGAAGTGGGCAGTGGCAGACACTGGACGCCGTGTTCGTGGTCTCCCACAGAAGGCAACCGTGACTTGTCATCCACAGTTGTAACGCAATCAACAACAAGGACAATTTCAATCATGATCATAATAAAGACGATGATGATGATGATGATGATGGTGATGATGATGGTGGTGGTGGGGAAGCCCCGGGCCCAAGCTGAGTGCCCCTTGGATCTGCCGTGTGGGGGTTCTCTTTCTTTTGTGTTGGTTTCGGGGTGGCTTTGTCTTCGGCGAAAGTGGATGAGTGAGAGCCATGGAGAGACGGGCGATAGCGATGATACTGCTGACATGGACGGCATGGACAGCTTGGAGAGCGTCGACAGAACGCCCCGAGATCACGATCGCCAAGGTCCACCCACTGCAGCAGAGGCGGCTCGACGTGCAGGACCACCGCCGCCACCAGGCGCTTTCCTGCTCAGAGATCGCCGAACACCGCCCACCACGGAAGCCGACGACAACACCGCCGCCCAGGACACCGCGCCAACTGCAGCAGATGCCTCCGAACGCGACACAGGGCCGAATGCAGCACCAGATGCCTCCGAACGCAGTGCAGACCCGGGCTCCACAAGAGTGCCCGAAGAGACATCCGAGAACCCCGAAGGCTCCGAGAGCGAAAACTCGCTTACTTGGAGCGAAACAAGTCTGTACCTGGAAGGCCCTGCTCTGGCCAGCGCTGTCGAGAGACTTCATACCCTCTACCGAGAGGAGCTGCAGACACGGCACATCCCGGCCAAAAGTCAGGCAGGCTGCTTGGGAGGCCTACGCCGGCGAACCAATGCGTCCGACTGGTACCGCCTCCAAGCTGAGGCTGTGCAGAGGCTCACAGGAGACAGGCTGCGCACATGGCAGCGCTTTGAGTTTGAAGCTACGCATGAACACCGGCCGCGGCGCCGACCAGCAAGACGAAGCCGCTCCCGCTCGCGCCAAGCGGACCCATGAGTTGCCAACCCTTTGGCGACCGCGCAGCTTACGTGCAGCCGCCTTCCAAAGGCCGGCACATTACCATCCCTTTAAACAAGCCTCTGACCCTAAACCCGGGAACCCCCGAAGCCCTAAACCGAAGAAAGCCCCCCAGCACAGGCCAGTGTGGTCAATGGCCTGCGGCCAGCGTGCAGCCAAGACCGGAGACCCCACGGCAGGACTCACTGCCCTTGCCAAGCATCCCCTGCAGCATGCTAAGCCCCTAAGCCACCATAGAACCCGCATTGCCTGTAAACCCAACAGTAGATCTGACAGAAGGCCACCACCAACAAGCCCTCTCGGTCCCAAGTCCGAGACCAGTCTAAGGCGAACGCTTCTTATGGGATTGTTCATTAGGACTGGAGGGGTGAGGGTTCCTCCTGATTCCGCGTCAGGAGGTAGACCTGCTGTGCCCATGGCAACGGCAGGGAAGCATCGCGGACCAACGCCCCCCGCGGCGCCAGTACATCAACAACAGCATCCCGTCATCACATTATCAGCTTCAGTCAAGCGTGCCTTTAGGCGAGCCAGAAATAGAGCCCACACTTCCCCGAATCAGGGTACCTGGTACAAAGGTAGATGGCACACGGCCGAGTCCCTAGGACAAATCCCTAAGCCTCTCCCAGCCCAAACCAGGCGCGTGCGGCCTCGGCTCCCCTATCGTCACAGGCCGGTAAAACACTTGAACATACTCTCCTGGAACACTAGCGGGTTAACATCAGCCATGTTCCAGGAATTGTTGGCTTGGACAGAAGCCCATTCAGCAGCCGACATTATCGTTCTGCAAGAAACGCACTGGGACGGGCAAAACCTCCTCGGATCCCTACGGCAGGTACACGGGCCTCCTCTTTCTCGTGCACAGGCAGCGGCTCCAGGACCCGCGGGTACTAGAGATAATCCCCGGTAGGCTCGCCCTAGTTCAAGCTACCTCAAAAATCACGCAGCTCCCGGTTACTATCATAGGGGTTTATCAGCATGTGTGGCGCACTAACCTCTCCACGGCTAAGAATCTTGAGCTCCGACGTTCCCTTTGGGATAAGCTAGGCACCACCATCCTCGGGATCCCTGAGAGACATCATCTTCTTATCTGCGGGGACTTTAATTCTGCGATCAAAACAGAAGCGCCATGCACCGGCAGCTCTATCCCACAGACCACTTCATCCAACCATGACGCTGACCTTCAAGCCCTGCTGCAGCAACACTCCCTTTGTGTCTTGAACACCTGGCATTGCAAGCCGAGCGGCACGTACTTCTCCCCGATGGGGCACACGCAGATTGACTACGTGATCACCCGGCAGCATGAGGCCAATCTTCAAGCCAAACAAGCCTACCCGGACCATCACTTCCCCATAGGCAGCCTTCGACTCACTGGGCATTTTCCTGTTCGAGCTCAGCTACCAATGCACTCCTTTCAGCAGACTGCCAAACAGGAGCTGACTCCGGGTACGGCCATCGACTGCGCTCGGCTGCAGTCTGCGGTCTGCCAGGCATCGCCAGAGGCCATGAGTATGCAGGCCAGCATAGCACAGCGACTTCAGGAGGTTGATGTCTCTAACTTGACCAGTGCTCACACACATGTCAACCGGATTCTACTGGAAGAAGCCCAGCAGGCTTTCCCCAAACAACCGCCGACGGACCAACGGGTCAGTGCCAACCCAGGCTTCTGCATGTCAGCCAAGCACGTGTGGCAACTATACCGCCAGCTCAAGAGCCCAGGAGTGTGCGCCGTGCACACCATCCTAGCGAAGTGGCGGCTGGCCACAAGCTTTGCCAAAGCCTCAAAGCAGCTCCGCCAGCAGAGCCGTGATCTCAAGAAACAATTTTACGAAACGCAGGTTGATCAAGCAGAGCAGGCTGCAATGCGAGGGGACCAGCGCAGTCTCCACCTCATTGTGCGGCGACTGTCACCTAAGACAAGACAAATTGCCGGCCGCCTCCGAGGCGAGGATGGACACCTCCTAACCAGTCAAGAGGAGCTGCAACACATCATGAAACATGGCAGCAGCACCTTCGCAGCCCAGCTTGATGATCATCCCCTGGCCCCTCTCCAGCAGGCCCTTCTGATCACTGACCAGGACCTTGCTCATGAACTATGCCACCTGGGCATAGCCAAGGCGGTGCCCAAGCACATTGCACCAGCTGCCATCTGGAAACAGTGTTCAGCCGAAATAAGCCAGGTACTGGGCCCGGCCTTACGGCAACACCTTGCCCCCGGCAGCAGCGGCAGACTCGATGAGGACTGGAAGAACTGCCACATTGTTTGCATCCCCAAACCAGGGAAGCCATCAACAGAAGTTGCCTCCCTACGACCCATAGGATTGTCTAGTCCGGCCAGCAAGGCGCTGGCAGGTAGCCTGCGTAATCACTTAATTGGACGACTCGAGCCCATCTTAAGAGAGCTGCCACAGTTCGCTTATGCCAGACACCGCGGTACAGCCAATGCCCTCATCAGAGCTCATGCTCACTTTGAGAAAGTGTCACATCTTCTCAAAAGCACTAGGTGCACCCGCTTCCAGAAACAAGCAGGCACCAAAACGAGGCTCTGCGCGGGAGGAGTCTGCATATCCCTTGATCTTTCCAAGGCTTTTGATGGAGTCAGCAGATCACACATATACCAATCCATGCAAGCTCATGGCGTCCCTCAGGAGGTGATTACCGTGGTCCAGCAACTGCACAAGGACGCCCAGTACATCTACAGCGTCGGCTCCCATCGCGGCTCCACGGTAACTACAAATGGCATCAAACAGGGCTGCGCAATAGCACCGTATCTCTGGAATTACTTCTCGGTTGCATTTCTTCTGCTCCTTAAGGACAAAAGAAGCCTTGAGTGGATCCAGCAGGTCCTGTCGTTGTTTGCAGATGACGTATGGGGGGCCTGGGAAATAACCGAAGCTCACCAGCTGGAAAACGCCCTGGAGGATATCTCACTTATCTTGGAAACCCTCGAAACCCTTGCAATGAAAATAAACTACAGCAAAACTGCAATCTTGCTTAAGCTCGTTGGCAAGGACGCGGCCCATCACAAGCGAGAGCACACCTTCATGAAGGCAGGCACTCTTCATCTGCGTGTCCAGGTCCATGGTAGAGAGTGCGGCATCCCCATCAAAGACAGACATGAGTACCTGGGCACCGTTGTCACGTATCATCACCGTTTGCAGCGCAACCTGCAAAGTCGCATCAAAGCAAGTGCAGCCAGGTACCAAGGCCTCCGCAAGATCCTAAATGGTTCCCACCACCTTTCCGTGCAACACAGACTACGTCTGTGGCAGGCCTGCGTCTGTACCAGCATGTTCTATGCCTTACATGTGGTTGGACTTAACTCCTCCACCCTTAATACCCTAACGACCCACCTCACCAAACACCTTCGTGCCATTCTCCGCATCCCCGCCCATCTTACACACATTACCACGAGCGAAGTCTGGCATCGTGCAGAACTGCCCATGCCAGGCTGGACAGTGCAACGCTTCCAGCTGCAATTGCTGGACAAGCTCCAAACACGAGCTCAGACGGAGCCTGACATCACAACAGACAGCACGGCCACTGATCATATGCGTGCTCAGGCCTCCTCCCTGGAGGCTCTTCTCCTGGATGTGGCAGCAGGCCTGGTCAAGGCCCCACAGATGGAGCCAGCTGTCAGCTGTCCTTTTTGCCAGGAAAGATTTCTCACGGAGCATGCCATGCGCATACACTGCGGAGTCAAGCACAAGTCGGTGTCCAAGCACTCCACCAAAACCCCTACTACCTTCAGACCGGAGCTTCACTCTAAAGCAGGCATGCCAGCCTGCCAACTCTGTGACCGCCAGTTCTGGAGGTGGAAACATCTCATTTCTCACATTGAAACAGGAGCCTGTAGCAAGCTTGGAGGTGACAGCGCCATCCGGGCGCCGATACCCGAGGACCACGTCCCTGAGCCGATCCAACAGCCACCAACGGCGGAGCTCGGCATTTTCGAGGATGAAAATATAGCTAACACGCCTCTTGTCAAGCGCCGTGTTTTCTTGCAGAGTCTTGCGGCATGGGAGCAATGGTTGAAAGTGCCAGCTGTCCGCCTCGAGCTCATGCATCACTGCGCTCTGTGTCACTACTGGATAGCTGACTTCCGCCATGTCAAACAACACATAAATCGTGTTCACTCTAAAGATCATCCCGATCTCATGCCCCGAGCCCTCAAACTCTGCCAGAGCTTTAAGTCCCACCTGCGGCGCGACAGCAAGTGCATCTGGTGCAACCACAAGGTCGGGGCCCCAGGCAGACACGTGACTCAATGCACCCCACTGGTGCAGCTTTGCCTTGCAGTCACGTATGGCCGAGACACACAAGGCCCTGATGATGGATCTGGCCTTCAACGAGGAGGCCGAAATATTTGCCAACTGCTGGCAAAACCAGCCAGAGTTCCTCATGACGCCGGATGGCCGCTCACAGAAGAGGCCCCGCCCAAATCAGATGACTCGCTGGCCCGACCGTCAGCAGCCCTTCTACCCGAACCGGGGCAATCCCTCACCGGGGGGCCATCCCTTCAGCAGGCAGCAGCAGCAGATGCCTCAGGATCCTGTACGGCTCCTAACCAGGGTGGTCCTGCAACAGGAACAGGTGATCAGCCGGCTACGGCACGACAAGGCCTTCGTTCTCTTCATGAAACAGGGGGAGGACGGCACTCTCGGAGCCCTCATGCGCGTCGCTCGAGAATGGAACACCAAGAAGGCCCAGGACCCCGACAACAAGGTGCTCCGGTCCCCGCTCCGCACAGTCCTACTCGCCAGCATGGTCAAGGAACTCCTGAACCTAGCTCAGCAGGCCGTGGCCACCGAGGAGAACAAAGGCAAGATGATCAAGGCGGAGTGGCTCACTGCATCCACCGAGTGGAATTACAGGGTGTGGAACCACACCGATCGCCGCCTCGAGGTGGACACGAAGAAACCTCCACTCCAGCACGCCGAGATCGTCCGCGTCCTCAACCACCTCCTCGAGAACCTGACGGGGGAGGCCATCCAACGCTTCAACTCCACGGTCCAGCTCTCGAAGCTGGAGCAGCAGGGAGCCCAGGTAGCAACCTTTGCATTGGAAGTTTCCCTTCGCGGGACCACAGCGGCAGAGCTGTATCACAACTTCGAGCGCCTATGCGGCAACGCAGTCATGAGCTTGATTGGGGTGTCCATGAAAAAGGACGCCCTCCCCCAGACACCTCTCGCCAAGAACCTGGCGAACCTCATATACCAGCGGTAGCCGCAGCCTCGCATCCCACGACCCTCTGCACTTATGCTCATACCATACCCAGCTCCCTTTCAGGTCAAGCGGACTCAGGGCACACCGGTGCCGACGCCACTGCCCCAGAGCTGCCATGCATAAGGCTTCAAGGCGGGTCGAACAGCTGCTATCTCAACTCATTCTTATACTGTGTATGGCTAGCTGCGCACCTTGTGGGTAAGCGACATTTGCTGCCGGAGGTTTTCTGGGTAAAATCAGAGCGGCCTCTTCTGGCCCTTCGTCTGATGGGGTTTCGCCTCTTGGGCTGGCGCCAACCCAACAACAGCATGATGCAGCAGAGCTTGTTGACTTTCTGCAACCTCGCCTTGTGCAGTCTCCAGGCTGCTGGGGTGCAAGGCAGCAACTGGCCGAAGGCATTGAAAGCAGTGCACCGGTCACGACCCTCAGATGCATCATCCTCCCGTTGGACCCCAGTGATCCCACCCCCGAGGTCCAAATTTTGGTGCATCGGTGGCACTCTCAGCAGCATCACCTGCATGCTTTGATAGCCAAGCCAGATTGGCTCTTCCTTCAGATTCCCAGGTTCCTGCATGAATCGGGGCGCTCGGCCAAGCACACACAGGCCTATCTTCTCCCTGACCTCCTGCATATCCCCGCTTTCCTTAATCCCCACTCCTTAGAAGTTGAATGGGTCCCTTATAAGGTCAGAGCTTGCATACAGCACCATGGCAGCACTCCCACGTCATGCCACTACACAGTGGTGGCAATCACTGAACCTGGGCAACGCTGGTTGCTGGACGATGAAAAAGAGCCCAATTTGCTGAACGACAGTCAGCTAAATCATCTCAGCACCAACATGTATCTGCTACTACTAGTCAATGATGCCGTAGCACTCTCAGCTCCGCTACCGAACCCGACAACTTCAGTTAGCGTAGTACCGAACCATGGATGTGCCGTGCCAGCCCAAAACTCTGCGCGAAGAGGATCTGGATTGGATATCAAGTCAGCTCTTCTTGATCAGAGCTCAATTGAGCGCAATGGCCGAACGCATCGAAGTGCTAAAGCAAGCTCAGAACCGCATGGAAGGCTGCATCAGGGTACTGGAGGCTCGAGCCAAGCGAGACACTCGCAACAAGTGTTCTTTACCAGCCCCTCCGATTCTTCTGAGACTTGAATCGATGGACGACTGAAAGACATGTACAAATCGGGACACAAAGCTCCGATAAATCTTTTAACACGTCACCTCGGTGAAACTTTTGCTGTTACTGGCTGCCCATACGTGGCACCCGTGCCTGCCGTCATGAACGGCCGACTCCTAAAAGGAGCTGTACAAGGCGTCGCTGGACAGAACTCTCTGCCGCGTGTGAAGAAGAAGAGGTGGTGGTGGGGATTGTGGAGATGATGATGAAGGTGATGATCATGACAACGCTGATGATTAAAGACGACAGTGATGATCATGATGATGGTGATGGTGATGTTGAACATGTAGAAGAAGAGGTTGATGGTGGTGATGGCGACCGTGATCCGGATTCAATTAGTAGAGGAACAGAATGATGGTGATGGTGATGATGGTGATGTTGAATCATGTTGTATAACTCAAAAACTTTAAATGACAGTGGTTGTGGTAATGATGGTCACGATGTCGATGGCGATGGCGATGATGATGATGATGAGGATGATGCTGGTTATGATGATGATGATGGTGATGATGATGATTGTGGTGGCGGTGATGGCGGTGATGATGCTGCTTGTGACGGTGGTGGTGACAGTGGTAGTACACGGTGGTGGTGATGATCTTTAGACGTGTCTTTGAACACTCTTTCATCCTTGTTCGGAGCAGTCGGGTAGCACAAGAAGTAGTGTAGAAGCGGAAGCGGTGCTGGCGGTGGTTGCTGCGGCGGCTGGTGGTCGATGTCGTCGCGTTCGTTGTCGCGGTGGTAGAGTAGTCGTAGCAGCAGAGCTGTAGCAGCAGCAGGAGGAGGAGCAGTCGTAGTAGTGGCATTGGAAGTGGTAATAGTTGTGGTAGTAGTGATGGTGCTGCCGGTAGTGTCGTTGGTAGTGCCAGTGGTGGTAGTGGCGAGTCGTGGTAGTCGTGGTAGATGTCGCAGCGGTAGTAGTGAGTGATGGTAGTTGGTTGTCGTGGTAGTCGCTGCATCAGCAGTGGTGGTGGTAGTGTTGTTGTTGGTGGTGGTACTAGTAGCAGTAGCAGCAGTAGTCGTCATGGCGGTCGGGGCAGTGGTGGTGGTGGTGGTGGTGGTGGATGTGGTAGCAGCAGCATGAACAGTCAGGAGTGGAACAAGGAGTGAACCTGCAGGCCTTGCACATGGAAATGGAGCAGACTCATGAGTTTCTGGCGGAGGAATTCTACGATGCGTCGGTCTCGCAGTCTTCCTCGCCGCAACAACATGTGTGACGGCACATTCCACGGCAATCGAGGCTCCTTCCGGTGTGGCAGGACCTCCGGAGTCACCCCCTCGACCGACAGTCGCCAAGTGAAGCGCAGGAGATCACCGAAGGGCGTGGCCCACAGGTGCCTCCGCAGTACGAGGCATAGTCGCATTGCGAAGGGTAAGGAAGAGAAGGGCACCTCGCTTTCACCTTGTACGCTGCATGCAAGGAGGACCGCGGCTTGGTGAGGTCTATGTCACAGCTGGTGCAGGGGGCTCAGCCAGCCAACTTGTTTTTGTTGCAAATCGTGGAAGAGAGACTTCGATGATGGTTTTCCCTTGACAGGCCTCAAAGACGGGCTTCCTGTGTCGAGGTGCACGAAGCATTTAACATAGTTGGGGGTTGTCATTGTCCGACATGGCATCGAGGCCTCAGAAGGCAGCGCCAATCAAGACGCCGAGAAGGCCGTCTTTGAACAAGCCTTTAGAGAAGGGAAAGTCAGCAGCTCTGCTTTTGCAGGAGGACCCGATCCGGTCTGTCAGCGGCAGCTTGCATGGGAGTTGCAAGCTCGGAAAGCCATGCGATACCATGCAAGGCAGTTCTCTCCCTTGAAACTTCTGTCAGGCAGCATGCGCTTGGAAGCACTTCTGGGGAGAACTCAGCCACTGCAGACAGACCGCTCTGAATCCGGAGGGTGCGTGCCCTTGCCGTTTGTGAGTGCCATCATCCCTCTTTGGAGATGCCGAGGTTGGAAAGATTTCTCTGCCGCGCTCGTTCAGGTTGCAGGAGGGAGCGCTCGAAAAGTGGTGCCGCGCTTTGCTTTTTTTCCCCCAGCTGCGAGTTTTTGCAGGGTCGAGCTTCCGGATCTCCTCAGAGCCCACGACGAGCTGATGGCAGAAAACTTGCATCTTCGAAGGGAGAACGAGGTGCAGGGAGAGATACTCGTAGCTTTTGTCTTGTGTCGTGGTCTTCACTGTTCTGAAGAACTTCAGGCGCTTCGTGCACGGCCTACATCTCCGCAGCAAGTATCCCCAGGGACTCGTTCGGGATACGCCCGGAGCTTAGAGCCTGTGTTGCTTCGTGATTGTGGCTTTTTGTTTCCTGCCGAGATTTCCAAGGCAAGCCCTACCAAGTCACATCGGACAGAGGCCCCCGTCCCGTGGGCCATAAGCCATGGGACGATGTCGAACGCCAGGTGTCGCCATCCGCTCGCATGCCAAGCCGATTTGCTTCAGAGGCCCAGTGTGCCTTCGGACAGCTGGGTGCCAGTGGGTGCCGGTGCGAGGCGAACTCCGAAGAGCCTGACGGCGCACAGGCTACGGACTCGCACAGAAGCGCTCGAAGTTGAACCGCTGCCTGAACAGGTGCCAGTCCACGCTTCTGTTGACGACGAAGAGGAAGCAGAAATTCCCGAGGACGGGCACCTGCAGCATCTCGTTCGACTGTCTGGACTCTGCAACAGCCGCTTTCTTGAAGGAAGGCTCTGAGATCAGGCGCTCCTCTTGGAGAGACCAGGCGCCCGCACTCGAACGCAAGAAAGCCATGGATGGGCTTGCAGCTGAGGCTCCGGCGAGCCCGAGTCTTCTGAATGCAGCCGCGGCTGCTTTCGTCGCAGCAACGAGCTTGGGCCGCAGCCCGAAGGCACAAACCAGGCTGGTTGCCGTCCTGGTCCCAGTCTGTGCACACGTGCACTGCATGGTCCCTGGTACAGGCCGGAGGATTCTCGGGGCAAAGAACCATGGGTCTGTGCGATGCCCTTGGCATCCGAAGCGCCACCTGTGCGGAAGGAGGAATTCAAGGAAACGGGCTTCAAAAGCAGGGAAGTGTGTCTGTGTCCGCATGATGCTTAAACACTGAGTCGGTGCATCTGCCATGATTCGAGGATGTGCGGCCACCCTCACCGCAGCGCCTGGCGGTGCCCAGCGCGAAGGTCTTCTGGCTGCATTTGCAAGCGCTTCTTTGTACCGCATGCTCCAGTCGCTTCACATTCGCGCGCTACGGGCAGCGAGGCATCAGCACAGGTGCCCAGCAAGGCCCTCCCGCATTCGCAAGCACAGAGCTAGGGAGCTCGTGGTGGAGCTTATGCATGTCCGCGTTCTTTTCCATTACCAGGCGCTTCTTCGCCTGCCTGTGCCATCCGCTGCAGAGCGTGCGCGGTCGATGTGTGCCGAGGATCCACCTTTAGCGGCTCAGATGAATTAGCTCCCTTTCTGGCTCTGCTCCAGGTCAGAAGCAGAAGTCCCAACTCGGCCACGTCTGGGTCACCCTGGTCCGGTGCTCAAACCATCAAGAAGAGGGATCAGAGTAGAGAGGGGATGCTGCTTAGGCGCAAAGCCATGCGTCCGACGAAGAACGCTGTCAGAGCCTCTGGCAATTTCAAGGATCTCATGCCCTCAAAGGCCCTTGTTCGAACCAGGCATGGCTCAAGCAGGCGGAGAAGGCGCATGTGAATGTGACATGGACATGTCATGTTGCCTGCTTTCGGACAAATCTTGGCAATCTCACTTCAGGACTTATCCAACAGATCGTCCGTGTGGGACCCTCAACGTCGCGACAGTCCTTCGCGTTTCTACGCAACAGAATCTCTCTGTCCCTGGCCAGGTCTGGCCGAATGGTACCTTTCGAATTTATGGGCGCCAGCCTCTGTTGCGAGACCTGCAATGCAAGCCAATGCAAGCTGAGAGTGCATCTTTCAGGGTCGGTGGCAACCGCTGGTGCACAAATCAGCTGATGAGTAGGTTGAGTTGGTGAGTGGACATATGGGCGAGTAGAAATCCCAGAAAGACATTTGAAACACATTCTGATGGTCTTGCACACGTTTTGGCGAAAATTCTTCAACTCCCTACCAAAGTACCACCCACTCCTGCCATGAGGGTCAAAAACAGAGCCAAATTCATGCTTGCTTTTTGTCTGGATGCCGAAGCTTTGAGGACGCACGAGTATAGGTGCTATGCAGGGTCTGTTGCTGTTGTAACGTGTCAGTCGCAGCTTTTTGTTGCTTCCTCTGCTGTGTAGCGGTACCTCTCTGCAAGGGGCAGTTTGACTGTAGTTTGTCTGTACACTGTTCCCTACTACTTATGAACACACGTACGTAGATTCATGTTCCATCCAAGCAGCCGGAGGTGCTGCCCGGCCTACGAATCCAGCGGCCTGGCCTCAGGTCGAGTGAGAGGTGAGCGCTCTTCAGTGCGTGGGTTTGCTCCGGGTCTGTCTTTCCCACCTTATTGTAACTCCCCTTAACCTCGCCGAGATGGCGACGTGCACTCTGAATTCAGGCGGCATGAATTTTGAAGCGTCGAAAGCATCCCGCAGGGACATAGACGCACAGGAAAGGTCGCCAAAAAGCCCGTGCAGTGAGAGCCATGCTGCCCTGTACAGGGTCGAAGTGCAGCCAAAGAATGGCCTCATGCCGATGTGCCTTGCTGTAAGCAAGCTGCCCAAATTCACAGAGCTGTTTACACGTAAAGGCCGTAACAGGTATCTGCTCCACTCGGCAAAGTGAAGGCGCCATGCCGTGTAAGCAGAGCACTGGGAACCTCGGAGCTCAGGTCCCGACCAGACTCAGCCATGATCTGGCGTACCCAGCGCAAAGAGTGAGCTGAGCTGCACAGTTTTAAGGCGTCCTGGGGATGGTTCCCCTCGGGCCACACTGCAGGAAAAAGGGATCGGACCGCTTTGCTTGGAGATCTCCGGCACCGGCCGTCCATGGCCGGGCCTTTCCTTTCCCTGTGCAGGAAAAGATGAACCCTATCATGGAGGCCGCCTTTGCTGCGTGAAAAAAGCAGAGCCGCTGTGACTTCACACCTTTTCGGCCACATCGCGGCCGGCGCCTCGAGGCCATGGTGACAGCTCTGCTGATCAAGTGCCCGGATGATCCGTGTGAGTTCATGATGAAGGCCGTCTCTGCAACCCGCATCTTTTGCCTCACTTCCTAGTTGCACGTGGACCATTCTGCCAGTGGCTGCTGGAGCAAGACCGCTACGACCGTGGAGAGTTTGGACGGCCAGTGGACGAAGCTGAACTGGCTAAACTCAGGACCCTCGATGAGTCTTCCAAGTGCCCAAGTCAGTGCGTTCGTCCTGGACCGAGGACAGAAGTGGAAAAGCTGAAGGCTGACAAGGCATGACACGACACAAGACACGTAGTCCTCTGTCGAAAGGGCGAGCAGTACCAAGCTCAGCAGACGCATAACCTTGAACAGGCGAAGCTTGAGGAAGCGACGAAGGCCTAGATACTGAGTTGCATGACTGCTTCAGGGAGAACATGGCAGGTAGGGATCTTGGCCCTTCTTGAGGCCAAGCATTCGTATGGTCGTAACGAAGAAAACAAGGGTATACCAGCCATGGAATGTCCAGTAGCCGTTGAACAGAATTGCACAGCGTGCACTGTCTCACTGCCACGGTCTACGTGCGCCTGGCTTGCCCACCCTTTGATCTTCAGAAGCCGTTGGTGCTGACCGTCAATCTCAGTTTTGCATCTGTGCAGTATCTCAGATCATCTGTCATCAGCACTTCCGTGTAAGCTTTTTGTGTACCGAAGAGCTACCCGGCGCACCACGGGAGCACAGCTGAGCAGAATTCTACGAGCGACCAGTGACTACTGATTTTTCACCCGAGCCTTACGGCACACAGACTGCTTTCAAACTGCTCGGCTGCGAAGGGCGAACTCCAGCTGCTGCAATTGCAGTAGTGACTTTTCGTGTGGGAGTTGAGGACTCTATGTTTCACCTCAAATCTTCACTGCCGCACAAACTTGGAGATGCCTCAGTGTGTAACTGTTGCCTGAAGAATTCCTGAGTGGATGCTTGACTTGAACTCGCGAATCTCGTGAAAAATGAGGTGTTTGCAGACCAGTCCTGGGTGGAGGGTTCGCGAGAGGACGCAGGGGTCTGCAGCCGGACCACATGATCGCCTCAAGCTCCCCAGCTTCATGTCGCTGTTAGTGGCTTGAGGCTGGTTCACGCGCCCGTTCTTTCCATGGACTATCCCGAAGCCCGAATACTTGTCTTCATTAGAGGACACTAACAAGTGCAGCACCATTGTCAAGCGCATATGGGCTCGGAAGCACGCGATGTTCCAGATGGCGGAGCATCAACGGAGGCACCTCACCTTCCCTTCCTCTGCCCCAACGAAGCAGACACATTGGCAGGTCCACTCAGCAGGTGCTGAGGTGACGACCCTTCAGCAGCTTTTTTGATAAGTAGTAGCGTCAGCGGTGCAGCCAACATGACCTGTACTTGGCCAGGTGCAGAGCCCGACCAGTGCCCTGCTGCAAAGGCACAACAGCCAGGGGTAACTAATTTCTTGCTTTTCTTGTGCTGTCTCCTTGCAGCCCTGAGAAGTCTTGTTGAACTCTTTCGGCTCTGACACGCCATGATCAGAAAGGTATCACATCGCATGTTTGCACGGGTCAGTGTAGAGACTTCTCAGCTTTCAACGTCGATTTGCTCTTTTATTTCGCTAGTTGCAGCAGCATGGCTGGCATGGCTTGCTTGCGTCTCCTCTCGGCCTTTACCACACTAGGCCCAGTTCTGGCAAGCCCCAAACAGGGAGCTTGGCTGCAGAGCCTCAAGGATTTGAAACCGTTGGGTGAGGAAAGAACCTCTTCCGGTTGCTCGGCTGGCAAAGGTCCGAAAGCTTGGGGAGGCACTGAGGAGGAGGGCTTCGAAGGCTGGGTCCCGCTAACGATCATGGACTTCACGCCGGTGAACCGTTCCTTCTATGTCCAGCTTCCCAAAAACGTCGGCACCTCCCGCTGGCGCCCAGCTCCGTTGCTCATCGCGCTGCACTCGCAAGGGGACCAAGCCGATTCGATGGCCTACAGCCACGACTACGGCACTTTTGGGAAGTCGCTGGGTTTCGTCACCGTGTTTCCGCAGGGTCTCGACGATGCGGTTCCAGGTGGTGGCGACTTGGGAACAGGCTGGAATGTGGGAACTGCTGGAGATGACCAGACATGTGTCACCGATGAGGTCACAGCAGACTGTTATGCATCGTGCTGGGAACAAAGCAAGTGTGGAAGCTGCAACTGGTCTGGATGCTACGATGAGAGGCTTTTCATCTACTCCGTCATTCAGATGATCAGCTCCGTCCTGTGCATTGATCAAAGCCGGGTCTATGTCACAGGTGAGAGCAATGGAGGTATGCTTGCTCACTACCTTGTGCAATCACTCCCCGGAACTTTTGCGGCCGTGGTCCCTTGGTATGGCCTTCCTCTTCTTGGATATGGCCTGGGGGCAGAGTTTGAGCTGGTCCGTGATCGGACGGATTGTCGGCAGACGGCCATGCTCCAGCTCCACGGACGCCAAGATGAGATCATGCCTGTGGCAGGAGGTGTGTCCGGCGGCTTCCAACCTGGTTGGATCTATGAGCCCTTGAATAAAGTACAGCAGGGCTGGGCTGCAGTTCACAACTGCGATACCGTTGCCAGCCCGACCCACACCTATTGGGATGGTGGGGAAAAGAATTTCGCATGCTTCGACTACAAGGGTTGTACCAGCGGAAGGCGTATCATGCGCTGCTTCTACGACGGTGGCCATGGTGATCGCCCGGGCGAGGGTGCCGCAGACCAAATCACGGTGTGGTTCTTGTTGCAGTATCGCTTGGATGCGAGCCATGCAGCCTCAAGCAAGCCGAAGAATGCATCCATCTTTGTTTGATCCAGCTTGCTGCAGACTGCACTGAATTCAGTCAGAGGCAGGTGTGGCTTACACTCGGCACTTGGCCCTTGCCAACGACGATGAAGTCAGACAATCGACCGCGTTTCACACGTTCGTGTAGGGCTTTTCTAGTGTGAGGCGGTCGCAGCACCGTCTTGCCGTCCTCCTGAAGATGCATTTCGCTCGTCATTGCTTCATTGAAGATGGACGCGACCGCACTCAGCTACCGTGTTTTCGCTGGGTAGGGAGACCCAAGCAATCAGAGGCAAAATGCCAAGGGCCAGCAGCTGTGGATTGTGAGCTTGCCTGTCAATGGAGATGCAGTGCTGGCAGGCAGCGTGCTGAAATGCCACCAGGCCGCTCTGACTGCCTAGATCTGTGCCGCTACAAGCTTCCAAGCTCAGGCAGCACTCCCTCCACGGACAGCATTGTCTCCTATGTCTCTTTCAGGACTGAGACAGTCATGACACATGTGTCCCAGGTCTTCATGGTGTTTTGCAGTTCTCGTGTGCCTGCAGGATTTCATTCAGGACAGAGGCGATGTGCTGGGCCCGTACCTGAGACAGCTGCAAGAAGCCGCAGTAACGGCCGATTGCATCGTCTGGTTTAACGTCTGGCAACAGGAGCCTGGACGGCTTTTCTACTCGAACATCCCCCGCGGGCTGGATGTGAGCATCAACGAGATGCTGCAGCCGATCTTTTCGGTGGGCCGGAGCCAATGTTGAGAGCCTCTGCAGAGCGGATGCTGCCAGCACATCAACAGGGAGGACCACGCTGAGCGCAGCGACCTGAAACCTTCGTGCAGCAATTGAAGTCTTCAGCGACCGCTGCACGAAGGCACAGCACTGCTGCACTTGACACGCGCCTTCCTGAAACGTAGCGGCTGGGAGGCGTGCTGGGCGCATGCCCTCTCTGCCTTGTTCGAACATTGCTGCAATGCTACAGCTAGTGTTTTATTCTCGCCTGTCGCATGCCGACGCCATGCTGAGCCATGTTGTCACTGCCCCACTGGCCCCATGCACCCCCCGCTTTTCGACAGGCAAGTGACGACTGTGCTGGATGGCTGCGCTTGTACATATCGCACTTTCCGCGAGGGGCCTTAGAAGCTTATGCAAGAGATTTTGGCCAGCCAAAGTCTTGCTGTGCAAGGTGCATTTCCTGTGTGGCGGTTATTTGCCAGGCAAGATGTTTCTGCAAAACCTGCAGCATGTGCCGGCGCGGCGGTTTGCGGTTTGTCTGTAGGGGTGTGCTGTTAGCTTTGGTGGCGAGTCTGACGCCTCCAGCATTAGCGAATCCTGCTCCCCGTAAGTTCGTGCGCTTCTTCCCCGCCATCAGACTCGAGCTAGACTTCGACAACATGTGGAAGGCCACACCCTGGACTTCGGCATCGGAGCATGTCTCAGCAGTGAAGAACTCTGGAGCCAGACGCGCTTCGAGCCTGCTGACCAGCGGGCTGCCGAGCGTTTCCTGGCAGAGGCCAAGCCCCGACGAAGCGCGGAGAAGAGAGCTTGGAGCCTTCAGTGCTTGCATCTTCTCACGCAATGTATCAGGGTGGTCTTCCAGGGCGCCGGCAGCGGATTGAGCAGGGCTTCTACGAGTGGTAGCTGGTAGCTCTACCTTGGAAGCACTTCGCACGCTCGCGGAACACATTGGCCACACATTCGCTCTGAGAGCAGTTGCGAGACCCAGATGTTCATGACATGGCTTTGTTCTATCTGTCTCACCACTGCTGCTGCCAAGCATTTGACTGCAACTTACATGAACCCCTGACTAAGCCTGCGTATGTCTGTGTCCACTTCACGTAGCTACGATGGACATGTGATACCTTTCGAAGAAGTCTCAGCAGTGCAGGATAGGCACCCCTTCTTTCAGCTTTATGGCAGTTGCTCGCATGGACATACTAGTCTCGGCGTTGCAAGGCATGTGGCACCCACCATCAGATGCGAGTCGCAGTGTGGTTACCCCCCAACTAGCTTTGGCATGCAAGGTTTCACAGCCCCGAGTCAAGTTGCTCCCACATTCCAGCACGCCAAGGGTTGGGCCTAGGGAACTGTCTGGCAATTCCGTGGCCTCGCCATCACCGGCAGCGCGCGACGCACGAGCTCTGCTTTTATGCTTGGGCGGACATGCACACGTCGGGGGCTCGGACGTATGCTTCAACACGACAGCAAAAGAGTGCCCCGGCCACTCAGGCTCGCAGACTGTGCCCATCATGCTGGCCTTCATCCCCGGTGTCGCTGGCGAGTCTCTCGATCAGCTGCCCGGTGGGGGATGGACATGACCTGGACATGTGTAGCAGCCGTAGACAGACAGAGTCATTGAACTTTGTTTGAGATCCCGACGTGATGTTGCTGCATGCCACCGAGGATATTCTTACCAGCGCTAGCCGCAGTCGGAGGCTTGATTGTAGGAGTTCTCCTCGTTTTTGGCTCAGCCCCCTGGCGGCAGTCATTGGTTCGCACCAGGGGCAGTGACCAATCTTGTGCGATCGGTGCGCGACTTGTGCATAGCCGTTTTCAAAGGTTGCGTGCGCTCAACGGTGTTTTAGCCGTCACCGGCCTGACCACGGCAAGGACTCTAAGGAGGTGCCCAAATGTTGCTTTCCGAGCAAATGCACACCTCGTTGCCATTGGTCTTCAGCAATGGAACATGGGACGTATGCACGCAGACGTCGAGGTCCCTTTCAAAGCGCATGCGCCAAGACGCACCGATTGTAGGAAGCTGCTGGATGTGTGGCTTGCGGCGGTGGCGGCTGCGGGCTGTGCACGCGTCCGTGTATGGCTTGCGACAACACGGGATGTAGTTTGTGTACCAAACCACAGGCAGGGTGGACTGTGCCTACACGAAAAGATCTCCACAAGAGTGCCTGCATTTGCAGGCAATGGAAGAAGCTGTGAAGAGTGGTGACCATCATGCCAGCGATTCCCCCATACCAGTTGAAGAATCCAAGGCTGTGCACCTCTGAACGCACGGAACGGGGCTCGGGGCCAAATGCGGGGAGTCAGGCATGGAAACTACCCTGCCTCGAGGGTGATGTAGAGCAGTCCAATGCGTCCGGGCGCTCAGCTCTGGGAGAGTTGCACATGGCTGTCGCACCTGAAATGTCCACGAAGTTCAGGTCGTCTCCGTGCACTCTCCTGGAGCCCAAAGCCTCTTCTGCAGCATGGGCCTTAGCTGCCTTGCCTGAGTCCTCCTCAATAGTGGCTGGCAGTTTCAGAAAACAAGGGACTCTTTTGTTGAACTCTGAATGGCAGGATCCTTGGAGTGACCCCCTTATGTTTGGGAAATGTTGAGGTGCCGACGAAGCTGGTCATCCAGGGCAGCCTCAATCTCAGCCGATTTGCAGGGCAGTTCATACCCTTTAAGATCCCTTAGGCTAGCCGCTAGGGTTTAGGCACACCCGAAGTCTGAAGCCTCGTGCTCCAAGGAAGCTGGCTGGAGCACCTTTGACTCTTTGAGAATAACTTCACAATTTTAAAATTCCCGGGGGTCAGGCAAATCCAAATCATTGTAAATGGTGCAACGACAGCCGTGCGTCTTTTGCACTTGAATCGAGCAGGAACTCGCAGCAGTTGTTTGCGTGACCTTGCAAATCATGAAGCCGTCCACCATTGCCACAACTACTGCAAGATTTTCAAAGCAAGTCTTGCCAAGTTGCATGGTGGAATTTATGCCGAGCTTGATTTATCTGATTGCCGGGGCCGACACGTCCGCCTGTTGTACTCTGGCAAGGAGAATGTGCTGATCTTCCAGACGTTGGCCTAGCAATCGCTGCTTCCGAGATGTCGAAGTACTTTCTCGTTTTCAATCGTTCAATGAACAAAAAAGAAAGTATACGCACACATGTAGGTAGACAGGTTATGCATGCGGACATTCATCCAAACGATGCACGTCAACGTATCCTCGTAGGTAATACCATCATTCGAATGAATATGAACAGCGATGACCAACACATTGCATGCCGCGATTTTCAGTAGAGCGGAAACTGAACGATTTCAGTACTTTGCTTTACTGAGAGTGCTCGACGTAGTGTTAGACGTTGGAAGGTGTTCCTCAAAGGAAGTTAGTCCGAGTATTTTTATATCTTCAGCCTGAAGCTGCACCGTGCGGAAGCGTTTCAAGTTGATGGGCAGTGCGACACGTGCACATGTACAGAGATGTAGCAGCATTCTCGAACATACTTCATGATGAGCTCCGCAGTGTGCCCGGTTCGTCTCACCCGCTTGAGATGCGGAAGCGGTGCCAATTCCGCGGGTGTATAAACACAGTTGTGCGGATGCTTCGTGCAGCTGGTGAAGTGTGCGGCTGCTGTACGGAGACTCTGCTCTATGCGGCCACTGTGCAGCCTTATCAGATCCAGAAGTCCTTCGCGACATCATGTCGGGGAAAGCCGAATAAGCGTGTCGCGTTACCTGGCTGCAAAACTGAAATGGGTTTGTCGATACTGTTTGGGCTGTGAATGCCGGAGAAGTGAGGTACCACAAAGATCAGAGCATGCCCCAGGACTGTGCCCGACTTTTCAGACCTTGACCTTCTTTGTGTGTCGTCATGTGTCCAAGCAGCGTCGTCTTCCTTGCGCAATGCGGTTCGACCATCGGTCATTGTCCAAGAGTTTCATTATCGTGCGTCTGTGAGCTGGCAAACATACCCGTAGATTCTGCCAGGAGCTGTTGCAGGATCGCTTCAAGATTTCGAGAGACCATGTGCTCGGAGAAGGCATGCCCCTTTGTGCGCTTGAAGCAACCGAGCTTCCCGATGCCTTGGTGCTGTTTCCGTTTGCTGCCCAGAGCTATTCGGTGGGTGAATACGATGGGAAAGTCAGTTCAGGGCATGCCACTCCTAAGTAGCTGGCCAGACTCTTCGTGCAAGGCAGCTATGCAGTGGTGTACAAAGGACTGGATCGGAAGGCAAGCTGGACGCGCCTTTTTTCCTTGCCTGCCCAGCATTCTTCGCAGGGTTTGAAGAACGTTGCCGTCAAACTCTACAAGGAGATCGAGCCGGACTTAGTCCAAGGTCCTTTATCTGTCTCCTTGCAGAGTATTGCGGATGCACCAAGGACGAGGATGCGACTCGATCCTTCAAGAAAAGCTGCTTGACCGACAAATCGCATTTGAGGATGCGACATACCTCCGAGGGGGAGTCGAAACGCCTCAAGTGATGCCTTCCTATCTTTCGCCTTTCCTGTGCATGTGTTGCAAGCCTGTTCCGGGACCGGCTTCGTCCCCACATATGTGCAAAAGATGGGGGGCAAGCGGCAGGGGTAAGCGAACGCGGGACCGGGATCAGACACGGGGATACATGTAAATCGTAAATGTGTGCCCTCCTGCTTCCCACAAGATGTCGCTCGCATGCTCTGTCTGTCACAATAACGTTTTTTGAAAGCGTGGAACTATTATTATTATTATTATTACTACTACTACTACTGCTGCTACTATTACTACTACTACCACTACTACTACTACTACTACTACTACTACTACTACTACGGCCTACTACTACTACTACTACTACTACTACTACTACTCCTGCTCTTACTCCTACTCCTACCCCTACTCCTACTGCTACTGCGACTGCTACTGCCACCGCTACTGCTTCTGCTACTGCTACTGCTGCAGCTGCTGCTTCTGCTGCTGCTGCTGCTACTACTACTACTACTACTACTACTGCTACTACTACTTCTGCTACTACTTTCTTCCCAACGCAGCAAGGAGTCTCGCTTGGCGGTCAAAGTTTTGGGGCAGGATCTGCATCCCGGCGCCTATGCGCACCCTGTGCTGTGACAGGGTCCAAACATGTGGACACGACGCTCTCCCGGCCCGAGGGCCCCATGTGAGAGAACGCCGTTGATACTGTTCTCGATAAGAGATAGCAACTAGGAGCACTAGACAGGAAGTCATATGCCGAAGATTGAAAGCAAATAAACAAAAACTCCAACTGTACAGATATGTCGTGTGGATTGCAGTTGGCTTCAGAGATCAAGTGGGCACAGGCAGAGCACTTATCAACCCTAATTAGGGACCTGGGCAGTGCATGTACACAAAGGCGTAGAAATTGCTATGACAATGATTCCACTCGGCGATTGCACGAATGCGCTGTGCGGGCTGAGAGTCCTGGGTTAGAAGCTGCATGTCATCATCATACAGCACTGCCCTGTAATGCCCTGAGGTGGCATTTGGGCCCTCATGCAACAATGCAGCGGCTAGTTGATATCGAACATGCTCAACTTGCAGTGCATTGGGCTGCGACAGGCCTTGCAGGAACTTAGGTACCATGATATAAGGCTCCGGGGTCAGGTACGTAGAAGTTTTGGTGCTACCATTATCCCCAACTCCAAATCTATTGACCTGTAGCAGCAAGGCGGGCGGCGAAGTGAGCAATCCTTGCACTCCACGCTGCTGGTGCCACGCATCAACAAGATTCTGCAGGCTAAGGCTCTGGTCGCGGGCAATTGCAGTGAGTGGGGTAGGAAGCCAAAGGGGCCAGGTGCTACCGGACTCTACCTTATCAACCCTAGTTATGCCTTGGCCTTCTGCGGATTCCTGTCGTGCCTCCCATTGGCTGTCTGCAGTCGAGGAGAGCAGCAGAGGGCGGAGGAACTGCAAATACTCCGCTACATCATGCTGCCTAGCAGGGTAACGCCATCCTATGTGCAATGCTCTCCAAGGGAGCTGCTCCCACAGGTGCAGCACCTCCTCCCGCTTTCGGAGATTACTGACTGCCGCCGCAAGACGGCTGCCGATAAGCCCTTCAGGGGTCGTCGTCCCTCGGAGCATACGTGCTTGGGTCCACAACACCGCTAACAAGGATGCGTTGCTGTAACAGAAATTGCTCTTGTTTCCTAAGCGTAGGCCCCGTACAGATTTTCCAGCATCTTCTGGATATTCTGCGCCAAAGCAGATCGGCCGAGGCGTTCTTGGCGCATTGTAAGAGCCACTGCTCTGCAGGCTCCGCTGTGAGCCAAGCGGGCAAACAGCTCCCAAGCTCGATCCGCTTCTTTCGTCCGAAGGCCAACCTCCAGCATCATCGGGACAATCTCCCCTGGGTTTGGAGGGCCCTCTTCCGCGCTGCATGGAACCTCAACGTCGTCAAGGGAAGCAGGACGAGGTCCGAGAGCTCCTTGACTATATCCAGGGCAATCGCCAGCGTCATGGGATCCTGGTCGGCCTTGATCTCCATCTCTTTGCTCTCGCGGTTGTACTGGAGGTAGGGCACCCTGCCGCTGGTATCCAATATGAGCATCTCCCTGGCTTGGGCCATGCTTCCTTCCGTATTGGAGATTGCATCCAGGCGGGTGTGCCAGATTTCCAATAGCTGGCGTAACATGGCAGATCGGAGTGGAAGCGTCATGCTTTCCGGCGAGTTCTCCTTCTGGTAGTTCCATACCTCTATGGTTTTCTTGAGGTCTGGAACCACTGACAAAAGCCCCTTCGCCTGGCAAAAGAGGATGAATCCCTTTTCGGATCGGTCGATCGCATGTTGATCCTCGTGGCGCAACATCAATCGCGCCATGGAGCAGCACAGAGCCTTGAGCTCGTCGGAGTAGTTCTGGCTCTGGTGCTTGTCCTGGCCTCCGCCCCACCAGTCCTGCTTGCGGCCCCAGCCGCCGCTTCCCGAACCACCGTAGGAGGTTCCGCCCTTGGGCTGGCCCTTGCGCCACTTCGGGCCCTTGCCCGTTTGATCCTCCTCCTCCTGGTCTGTCGTGCCGCGCTTGTTCTCCCTCTGGCTGGTGTCCATACCTTGTTGCGGCGGCATTGCAGTCGAAGGGAGTGTCGTGGCTGGCGGCGGGGTCGTAGGCGTGGCCTGTGATCCCAGGCTGCTCGTTCCCATCATGCTCCGCATCAGCGCAGCCTGCTGCTTGGCGTGCAGCAGCTCGGAGTTCTGCTCCTCCGTCAGCACGAGCGCCATGAGCTTCCGAAGTGGGGTCCTGTTCAGCGTGCAGTAAGCGCGCCAAGCCCGTGCGGATGAGGGTAGGGCAAGCAAGGGTGTGTTTGATGCGACTGTGATGCATGCTCCGAAAGTCCTGGTTGCACCACTTGCGCGGGCTGAAGACCGTCGGCCGTCTTGCTTGGAGCCAACTAGTGAGCGCATCAAAAGTGTGTCTCAGCTCACTGTGCTGGACCCTGGCATGTCTCATGAGATCCGAAGGCCTGGCAAGCCATTGGGGGCAGAACAGACAGACGATGTCGTACTGTCTTATGTCTTATGTAGTTGCCACCCCTACTTCTGGACTGTGCGTCTTAAACTTTGGTGTCTCGAACGGCTTGCAGCGAAAACTCGAAATTGGGTGGGGGGAAGCTTTTCCTCGGTATTTACAGTACTTTCGCACACAACCCTTCTTTTACACGGTATTTACAGTACTTTTGGTGATGTTGGTGATGAACGGTGCTGATTTTTCGTGATTTTGGTGATGAAATCTGTTTGCTTTTTGGTGATGCTGGTGATGAAATGTATTCGTGAGCACACAACCCCACTTTGACTCGGTGTTTACAGTACTTTTGGGGATGTTGGTGATGAAAAGTGATGAATTGTGTTTGATTTTCGTGATGTTGGTGATGAAAATGTGTTTGCTTTCACGTGATGTTGGTGATGATGATGATGTTGATGGCAATGACGAAGCATCTCGGCCCGAGCCTTTTAA